AGACAGATGCAACAGAACAAAGAAACAGATGAAACAGAACAAAGAAACAGATGAAACAGGACAAAGAGACAGATGAAACAAAACAAAGAGACAGATGAAACAGTACAAAGAGGCAGATGAAACAGAACAAACAAACATGAAACAGAACAAACAAACAGAGGAAACAGAGCAAAATTACAGATGAAACTGAACACAGCGACAGATGAAACAGAACAAAGAGACAGATGAAACGGTAGAATGAAATTCCATTAAAGTGAAATCGACACAAAGGCTTTGTTTGTCTAGAGCGAGCGAGAGAGAGAGAGAAAGAGCGAGAGAGGGAGGGATAAAGTGAGAGAGACAGACAGACAGACGGGGACAAAGAGAAGGTGAAGAGGAGGAGAGGGGGAGGGGAGGGAACAAAGGAGGGAAACATGAAAGAGACAGAAGGACGGGGACAGGGGGAGAAGAAGGAGAAAGATAGAAGGGAGAGAGAGAGAGACCAGGACAAAGAGAGAATCAGAGACTAGAGAGAGAAAAAATCACGAGGAAAGAGAGAGTGAAAGAGAATGACTTGAAGACAGGGAGTGAGAGAGAGAGAGAGAGACAAAGACAGAGAGAGGGAGATAAATAAGAATAAAAAGAGAGATAAAGAAGAGAGAGAACGACATAAGGACAGAGAAAGATAGAGAGAGATAGAGATAAATGAGAAGAGAGAGAAAGGCATAAGGATATAAAGATAGAGAGAGAGAGAGAGAGAGAGAGAGAGAGAGAGAGAGCCAGCCACAACAGCAACAAGCCACATAGGTACAGAAGGGATCACCCGTCCTCATCATATATTATGTATGATGCATGACTCAGGCACACACCCCTGCTCTTACTGCTACTCTCTCTCTCTCTCTCTCTCTCTCTCAGGCGTACTCATGCGCTACACACACTCATGGACGCGCAGACAAGCACACCTCACAAAGATAACAAGAAACATTTATTGTAAGTGTCTAGGAATTCTATACCAGACAGACAGACAAAGTGAAGAGAGTGAAAGAGAGAGAGAGAGACAGATTTCTAAGTCACTAACTATCGCACCTTAATTGATTTCCATCAGGTGTATAGTATGTCCTCCCATATCGTCACCTCACACGTTACAACACTTGATCGCTGACTGAACCTTCTCCCCCCCGTCACTGACTGAACCTTCTCCTGTCACTGATCGCGATCGAACCTTTCCCCGTCACTTGATCGCCGACTGAACCTTTGTCCTCATTTGAACCTCCCCGTCCTTGATCGTTGACTGAACCTTCTCCCCCGTCACTTGATCGCGACTGAACTGAACCTTCCCCCGTCACTTGATCGCATGATCGAACCTGAACCTTCTCCCCGTCACTTGATCGCTGACTGAACCTTCTCTCCCGTCACTTGATCGCCGACTGAACTCTCCCCCCGTCACTTGATCGCTCTAACCTTCTCCCCCCGTCACTTGATCGCTGACTGAACCTTCTCCCCCGTCACTTGATCGCTGACTGAACCTTCTCCCCCCGTCACTTGATCGCTGACTGAACCTTCTCTCCCCCCGTCCCCCTCTCTGTTCAACACCTTGATGGATGATGTTAGTTTATATGTTAATCCAGCAAACTGTTGGATGAATAAACATGATGGAGCTAAATATCTTTCCTCGCGCAGCCAGACGTCCAAGTTATTTATTTTTAGGTTGTAAGATCGGAAGAAAAGACTGAGTTAGGTTAGGTTATGTTTGGTCAGGGTCTTGATTATGTGAGGTTACATTTATTCAGGTTCCCAGTTAGATTAAATCAAGTTCCCAGTTAGATTAAATCAAGTTCCGAGTTAGATTAGACCAGGTTCCGAGTCAAGTTACTCATAGGGCCCCTCACCACTCACCATGGCGGACACAGAAACCTACTTTACCTTATTCTCCCGGGATGAGGTTTATGGTGTATTTAGGGGGAAGTAATTTGCTTTTAATTAAGAGTCTTGGGTGGTGAGGGGAGGCGCCGACCATCTCCCCTCACCACCAACTTCCTCGAAAGCACAAAAACTTTCTGCCGTTTATACTTTATGGTGAGACGAAAGTTTTACCTAATAATCAATACTTCCATTTGTATACCTCGTGTGTGTGTGGGGGGGGGGAGGTGTGACGTGAAACAGCCAATAGTCTATTCTAAATCATAATTCTACATTTATTAAACATACGACCCAATCTAACCTAACCTAACCTAACCTAACTTAAACCTAACCTAACACTACCTTAATACTAGGTAGGGTAAGGCCAATATACTGAAGGTGGTCTACATGATACAACCTGTTTACGTGTTACAATGGAGGGTCTTAAGACTGATCCCCAAGATAATTGAACACACACACACACACACACGTCTCCCCCAAACCCACGTCTTCCTCCCATAACCACGACCCTCCACCCCCCTGACACACCCACGTTCCAATACCCTACCTTCCTACCATAAAATTGCATTTGTTCGTCTCCTTCACTTCCAGACCATCGTAATAAGGTAACCAACCCCCTGGCGGCGTCTCCTCCTCACTAATCTCCGTTCTGATTCACCAAGACAAACTTTATTGCCTTAACTCAATTGTGGATACGTTCTCACATCTTGGGCAATGGGGGTGAATTCACCTTTATGTCGTAGCTTATGTCAGGTACATTTTCACATCTCACAGTAAGAAGAAATATAACACGATCTCTTTAAAATCTATTTATATTTTTTTTTAATTTAAGAGAGAAAGTTTATTGCAGGAACTTTGAGAATTCCTAACTATGTAGAAACTCGTCTCTCTCTCTCTCCCTCTCTCTCTCTCACTCTCACTTTCTTCCCTCTCCCTCTCTGCTCTCTCAGACACACACAGCAGAAGGATACCAGACCTTTAATGAGTGCGTGTATTTCTGGTTTCTTAATTGCTTCCCTCCAGCCTTAATTCACTGCTTGGCTGAGGAACATTATTCGCCCCTGCTGAAAGTTGGTTTACCTCCAGTGATTGTTGAAGGTCTAAAGGACTCGTTGGTTTGTGGTTTAATGAAGGACTGTGAAGGACTCGTTGGTTATTGGTTTGTGGTTTAATGAAGGACTGTGAAGGACTCGTTGGTTATTGGTTTGTGGTTTAATGAAGAACTGTGAAGGACTCGTTGGTTATTGGTTTGTGGTTTAATGAAGGATTGAAGGACTCGTTGGTTATTGGTTTGTGGTTTAATGAAGGCTCGTGAAGGACTCGTTGGTTATTGGTTTGTGGTTTAATGAAGGATTGAAGGACTCGTTGGTTATTGGTTTGTGGTTTAATGAAGACTCGTGAAGGACTCGTTGGTTATTGGTTTGTGGTTTAATGAAGGATTGAAGGACTCGTTGGTTATTGGTTTGTGGTTTAATGAAGGCTCGTGAAGGACTCGTTGGTTATTGGTTTGTTATTTCCTGTTTATTATTGGATTTGACGTGGAAATATTTTTTTGAAGAGCTTGTTGTCGATCAAATTGCGATTTTCCCTAACATTTTTTACGATATTGTATTTATTATATTCTGAAGATCTTATTAATTATAGTTATTTCATAAAGGTTTAGTTGATTAAATTTTAACGATTATTCTAAAGTTATTATTCTTAAATGGAAGATAAAAAAAATTGCTGTTACTTGAATGTAATAGCAAGAACTATAGATGGGGGGAAACGTGTGAGAGAGTGGGATGCCTTACGTGTTACAACCATGTCTGAGTGATGTGGTGGTGGTGGGGGGAGGGGTTGGGGGAGTGGTGGGAGGAGGGGTTGGGGGCGTGGTGGGGGAGGGGTTGGGGAGTGGTGGGGGAGTCGACCTGTATACAAAATGCCAGGTGATTACAGGTCCGCTCTTTACCTGTATTTTGGACCTGGGTTGAATTTTTTCCCGCTCCTAGACGCATGAGACTCCAGTAATGTCTTGCCCTTGTGTTTCAGGTGAGTGTTAGAGAAAAACACAGCCATTGGGGGGGGGAGGAAAAAAGGAAGGAGTTTAGGTTGTTTGAGGAGAGTTTTTTTTAAGTCAATGAGGAGAATTTTTTGACGTCAGGCACAACAAGACTCGTCACCTGAAAGAGAGAGAGAAAGAGAGAGAGGGAGAGAGGGGTAGAAAGAGAAAGCATAGAATAACGTTAAAATATAAAAAAGATAGAATATAATTAGAAAAATTATTCGCCTATGGTCTCTCTCTCTCCCTCACATCACCTCCCCTCCCCATGCACTCCACATAGCCAGCTCCGAGAAGTTACGATTATGAGGCCATAGTTCTCCGTCTCTCTCTCTTTCTCTTTAAGGACGAGTCTTTAACCCTTTGATGATGCTAATTTAACCCTTTTTAATGATTATTGCTTATACCTTAGAGGAAAATAAACTAACCCTTTGAGTAATATAATTTAACCCTTTGAGGACAATAATTTAACCCTTTGGGGACGATAATTTAACCCTTTGAGTACAGTTTAACAATTTGAGAATGATGGTAAAAACTTAAGAGGGATATAATTTAATCCTCTGGTGACACACACACACACACACACACACACACACACACACACACACACACACAGGGGTCCTGACCTGGTGGCAGCAGAACTCAGTGGCTATTGTGTGTGTCCATTTTTACGAAGGTGGTGACAGTGATGGTAATGATGATGATGATGATGGTGGTGATGTTGATGAGGGTGATGGTGGTAGTCGTGGTGATGAGCATGATGGTGACAGGACCTGCCCGAAGCACATCACTAGTTCACTATCACCCTGACACACCACTGTAGGCACCACTACCGTGTCCATCAGTCAGTGTTGCGGTGACAGAAACACGGACGGGCGTGACACAGGCAGCCAACACAACACCATCGGGTCGCTACAACACTCTTTAAATGTCAGCTGGTGTACATTATCACGTGTTTTATTAACGTGTGTCCCACTCAGTGTAGGAAGGTGGTGCAGTCTCAGTGTGTGTGGAGAAGTAACGCACCAGACGAAGGTGTTGACGTGAAGGGTTAACTCACCTCTGTCCTGGTGGGGGAAGTCGTGTGGCGAAGACGAAGGCTGTTGGCCGGGAGCGCGCGCGGACACACCCTCACCCCAGCACTGCACCAGCCACACTGCCTCCAATTGATCAGTTAGGACCCGCTCCTCCACGGGCTGCCCCTGCAAGATAATCCTCTTATTTTGCCCCTTTGTTCCACATTTCATGGGATTCTGTCATTAGAATTGGAAACATTTAGGATATATTAATCCATTTTGTTGATGTACACGATATCACCGCGTTAATCTGCAAATGTAAGGTATTAGTGCAGTGTTTTGAAGCGTAAGTATGAGCGAATGTGTGTGTGTGTGTATGTGTGTATGTGTGTGTGTGTGTGCCGGCGGCAGTAGTGGTAGGGTTGCTCCCCTCAGTGCACACCACGCCCCGCGCCCTCTCCCGTGGGATTGGATTTGCTTCTATGCCATTTCAAAGATTACTTTTAACTTAAACCTCAAACTAAAGGTATACTTTAATACTTTACACTCAAACTTGTTTTTCGAAAATGAACGAGTTTAATCTTATATATGAACTTTTTGTAAAATCCCATCAATTGGTTTTCCAGGAACAAGGATGCAATTTTCCATACAAGATTCGGTGAGGCAGGAAGGGCTGAGCGATGGCCTATGTATCGTTACCATGAAGGTGGCAACGCGGTAGTAGTTGCCAAATGACGATCCAGCACCGTGTTGTTCGTGTAATAATGGCACCTGAACCACTCACCACTCACTCCAATACCCTGTACTAAAAATCATTGTTTGGATTTACTACGACTGAACACATTTTTTTGCTCCAAAGTTAGGATTTTCATTCAGAGATTCGAACATAAAATTTCTTTTCGAACTGGAAGTAAAACAACTTATCCCAGAGTTTGGATTTTCGTATATAAATTCCATCGTTAAGTTCGCGGTCCTCTTAACAACTACATTATAGAGTTCTAAGTATAATACCGACGCCAATTTCGACGCTATCTTTGTGCCGTCATTTAAGTGAGGCAGTCACACACGTTCTCACATTTCCAGTTAGAAGATAAGTTATTGACTGACCTTCTGAGAATCTGGAGCTAGATGTTGAAGAGAGATGAGAGGAGACAGATTTGAAGAATATGAACAAAGGTTGAGAATAGGTATCGGGAAAGGACAGATTTCATGAATAGGAACGGGAAGGAGATTAATTTCGGTCATAGGAAGGATTGAAGACAGATTTGCCTCTTGTATCCTCCTCGCCACTTGTCATATTACTAACCCGTCAGGCGGTTGGTCAAATTCTCTGTTGCATATTGTTGGTGAGTAATGTATTGGGCGTGTACGGGCTCTTGAATGTATACCTGCACATGTCTCAGTGTTGGTTAAGCCTGGTCTTTCGGGATTTCCAACTTGGGTTTGTCACTACACTCGCTGGTAGATAATTCCAGGAATTCACAACTCTTTCTCCGAGAGAGTTCTGATAATTTTGTGTGCTGAAGCTTTTTTAGCTTCTAGTGAAACGGCCATTAGCTAATGACACACACGTACAAGATTGATATTCTTTACGGAAAACTAGATGCTACAAAGGAATTTAATCGACGTCAAACAAAAACGCATTCTTGAATGTTGTTTATTAAATTCTTGTCCTGCTGATCGGCGTGTAGCATCTGGCTCTGCGTGCGTACGTGAATGTTAACTGACTCTTTCCACGAGTGTTACATTCTCTGCCAGCTTCAACTATTTCCATGATTCCCTCGCCAAAAAAAGGAAAAATAGAGAAGAATATTAATTTTCCTACAGTGCACGACCTCAGAGACACTGAGTAATGTCAATTAGTCTGCACCAGCAGGTTTACTAAGTCACCCGGTGAGTGAAGTGTTGAGTGCCGGCACCAGTCTGGCACCCCTTCCTTGAACGCCCTTAATAGACTATCTCTCCTAATCCGTCAGTGATATTTGACACATCTTGACGACCCACTCTGCCCCAGTGACCCACCCTCACCACCCACTACACGACACATGTGACCCACCCTCACCACCCACTACTCGACGCATGTAACCCACCCTCACCACCCACTACACGACGCATGACCCACCCTCACCACCCACTACTCGACGCATGTAACCCACCCTCACCACCCACTACACGACGCATGACCCACCCTCACCACCCACTACTCGACGCATGTAACCCACCCTCACCACCCACTACACGACACATGTGACCCACCCTCACCACCACACCCACCTGGCAATACACTATGATAAACACACCTGTTAAATGCCCACTAGAGAGCCTCAGTATCGCCCTCAAGTGGTAAATGGGTGTTGTCAACCAGCTCTCTCTCTCTCTCTCTCTCTCTCTCTCTCTCTCTCTCTCTCTCTCTCTCTGCCAGTCATCTTATCCGTCTAATATATGTAACCCCTTTATAGCCACCCTTATATATAAAACCCCCTTATAACGAACTTTGTGTGTAACCCTCTTATAACCACACACGGGGACCTTCACCCCACGTATCGATGTTTAACGGACGGACGTACTAACAAACACCGATACCTACAGTACACCACAGAATAGATTTTGTTATACAGTGTTTGTTTTGTAGACTTATTACATGTTATTATGTAAGAGTAGTGCTATTTAACATAGTATGGAGTTAATTACGAAACTCAAACTTATACTTTTGGAGTTTTTCTTACTTTTACGTATAAGAAAAAAGTTGTAATAGCGTTATAAAGTGGATAACTACCCGATGAAGTTCATTTTGTAATCATAACTTTTGTAATTTTTGTTTTTGATGTAGTTATGTTGTGTGTTTACCATGTTTAGTGTTGTGAGAAGTGGACGTGATGATGATGATGATGATGATGATGATAATGACGATGATGATGATAATGATGATGGTGGTGGTGTGATATGACTTGCTAGAAGCCATACACTCCTCCATAGTAATGCTCGCGGTCGATGCCAAGTTATTCGGGGAAATTAGAAGCAAACGGTCTGTGAAGGGACGACAGAAAGATCTCTGTCAGCTTCAGGAGTGATCAAAGGAATCGTTGTTATGATTCAGTGTCACGAAATGCAAGAGGATGCACCTAGGTCGTACCAACAGTAAGGAGGCGTATCACATATCCCAACGGGACGAAGAAACGGCGTTAACGGAGACCGAATGTGAAGAGGACCTGTGTGTGTATGTTCACAATAAACTAAAGTTCTCGGACCATTGTGAGAGAAAGGGGACTAAAGCAACTAAACTAGTGGGACTTATAAGAATAGCGTTCAGTTACCTTAATGGTCCATCCCTCTTAACGCTTTTCAAAAGTGAGGTGCTTCCCCGTTTGAAGCAGTCACTCTGCCTGGTCCCCAAGACTGGTGCCTGACTGCTTGAGCTACGGCACCTCGGGTATCCAGAGAGATTAGAGCGCCTGCAATTGCCTAGCTTATACTATAGGCGGGTAAAGGGTGACTTAAGAGAAGTTCATAAACACCTCAGTCGAGTGTTCATACCTGGAACTGGCGGGTGCCCGTCCCACTAGGGGTCACAGACTCACAGTATATGGTGATGATAAGTATTTTGGGGGTGATCTGTATATTGTAACCTAACCAGCTCTCTTTATTTTAATCCCTGGTTATTTTCCTGTTTTCTTTTATGATACAGAGAACCTTGTTGCCACTCCATTCATCGTACGTCCGGCAGCGTCGCGGTGTACTAGAAAGTTCTCGCTGGATTCAGAGGCCAGAGAGAAATTGATTTGTTTATATATTAATAACATTGCCACTTCTTAATAACAAGAATATACTTGAACGATTTCTGTGTAGTTTTCTTGCCAGAAGAAGCCAAGTGATGTTTTCATATCTCTGATTTTATAAATCCTTGTTTTTTAAGAGATGATTCTGAACTTGAAGAAAGTTGGAACGAATTTATAGCTTATTGTGCTTAACGCGCAAGACGTTACCTTCAATATAAGGTTGTGTTAACAGTGTGCGTAGTGTGTAATAATGGTTGGCGGTTGTTAGCTAACCCTGAGCTGCTGCACACCCCCGATGACACAATGCTCCTCTAAATACGCTTCCTGTGGGTTGATATTAATTGGTGCATGTTAGATATACGTATATAGATAGATATTCAGTAAAATCGTCATACAGAATTCTACTGAGTCAGTATGTATATAAACAATACAACACACAAGTATACAATGTACATAAACCATGTAGGAGACTGTGTACAGTCCGGTATACAAACAATGGTAAACAGTAAGGCGTTCAACTGAGAATAATTTCTCATCGGTAAGGTTCATCAAAACACGTAACTCTGTTGTATTGTTAAGATTTGTTTATTCTTACGAACCTTTCTGAATCCGTAATCTTGTGGGGGGGGGGTCGAAGCAACAAGTAGACAGCGACAAGTCCAGGAATACAGTCATACACCTGGGTCCTTTTCACATTCAGTCTCATTAATGGAGACTTAATGTGAAAAGAACTTAGGTGTGTACGTTGACAATGAGCTGAAGTTCTCGAGCCATTGCGAGAAGATGGTAAATCAGGCAACTAAATTATTAGGTCTTTTAAGAAGGTCGTTCAGATATCTAAATCCCTCGTAACGATCTTTAAGAGTGAAGTGCTTTCCCGTTTGGAGTACTGTCACCCAGTCTGGTCTCCGAGATATGCTAGGGACTGTCAGTTGATTGAAAATGTCCAAAGGAGGGCCACCAGACTGGTGCCTGCACTCCGGCACCTCAGCTACCCTGTGAGATTAGAGCGCCTGAAATTGTCTAACTTATACTACAGACGGGCAAGGGGAGACCTAATCGAGGTGTATAAGCATCTCAGGGGGCACTACTCAGTCGAGTACCCTTACCTGGAGCTGGCGGACGCTCGCCCCACAGGGGGTCACATCTCAAGGTTGAAGAAGCCGCAAGCCCAAGGGGTAACTTTCTCAGAGTGAGAGTTGTGAACTCTTGGGTCAATTTACCAGAGAGTGTTGTGACGGCATCGAGTGTGAGCTCTTTCAAGACCAGACTAGATAAGCACTGGAGCAGGTTCACATACATTCAGGAGCCAGTGCATGCCCAGTACTTGCCAACAGTGCGTAACGAGACGTGACCGCCCAAGCGGCTAACGAGCCAATCAGTGGTGAAGAGGATAAAAGTATAAAAGTAATACATATAATAATGACAAGACCATTATAATGTATGACTGCACATGCAGTGTGTCATGTTTTAATTACCATTTACATTCGATTATGTATAACAGTGTGAGGATAAGAGTGAGTTGAAAATTGTTCGGCGAAGCTTGTATCTATTTTGAAAAATAAGAACGAGAGTTTTTAACCATGTATTTGAGTTGTGGCCATTACTAGTTGATACATATACTGTAGTACGTTGTGCTTGCTACACCTATTACTTTTGTGGGAAAAGATACTGTAGAGTTGGGGTCAAAAGTCTTGAACACTTGATAGTATTTGGCATGTAAGTACCCGAAGATCTTAGGTATTGAGGAGAGTTTTATCCTATTTTGTGGTTCAGGCATATGTGATGACAAGTAGTGTTATTAGTATATCCCAATCATATATGTATAACTCACAGGTAGATGCCAGGTATTGCTAAGTGTTCAAGACTTTTGACCCCGACTGTATATAGAAGTATCGTTTTCTGTTGGATTAATTTCCCGCTCTCCTTATGTCCACACTCGACCTACAACTTGCTCTTTCAGCTGTTCTCTTGTCATAGTCGTGTCATCAAGATCACCAGCATCTGACTGGTGAATAACCGATATGTGATTGCTTGTCTATTATTTAGAGAAACAACGCTGAATAATATTATGCAAACGCTTTACGAAAGTCACATCTAGCTGCTGTGAGTGAGTGAAAGCTTAATTAATATTTTCAAAATGTCTTTGGCTCATTTCCTGAACATTTGTGAGAAAAGGGTTGATACAGCAAATTCAAGATAATTATTTGATATAAACATTAGGGAAGGTCTATCTCCATTATTATATAACATGCTGATAACCACATAGGAAAAAAGAAAACACGAAGTTCCCAAGCACTTTTGTGTATTTCACATCTTTTTTATGTAGTCATCAGCTTAAACATGGATCACACGCACCTACAGTGATTTATTTGCATCATGTAATATATCTCGCAGGACTTTTAAAGAAAGCTTGTAAGAAGTGATGAAGGAATAAATGTCAGTGGTAATGTCATATATATGGTATGCAAATGATACTTCTCTTATTGTAGGTAGTGACCTGCCAGTCTATAATGGGCAATACAGTTGTAAACTCTTGGAATAACCTGCCAGAGAGTGTTATGACAGTGGATAACTGAGGTGCCATGGTGCAACCACTGGCCCATTAGTCTTCTGCTGACGGTCTCTAGCATTATCTCGGAGACCAGACGGGATGACATAACTACAAACGGGAAATCACCTCTCTTTGAGGAGCGTTAGGAGTGTCGGACCACCAAGGTGCGCGAACGCCCTTCTTATAAGCTCTACTAGGTACTATATTATTATAGCTTATAGTTTTCTTGATTTACCTTCTCACAATGGTCCGAGATGTTATACCTGTACAGGTACTTTGGTTAATTTTCGCTCTTTTCAGGAAAAAACATGCTATCAAGCTTCATTACCTTTTAAGGCTATTCATATTCAACTTAAAACACTGAATTATTCAAATGAAAAGCCTTGTGGGTTCATGTAAAATGGTTCTAAGTTTTCTAAAAGGCTAATATTAAGATGATATCCTACAAACCAAAACTGGACCCATGAAAATAGATAACTAAGGTTAAGATCTGAATATACAGGTGTTGGTGCCTTCGTCAAGAATCCTCAATTATGGCAATTAAAATACAGTGGTATTTATATGGTGAAGGTAAAGTGAGCAGTCGCATATCTGACGTCAGTTAATAGTGTTGCCATCAATAGTGCGTAAGATTTCAGCCTAATTTTCTTGCGTATCAATTGCAGCACTTTTCTTGTTTAAATAAGGTGATTTATTATTCAGATAAATAATAAATATAAATTTTCTTTTGTTCTACGGCTGTTTAATATACAGTATCATTGTATCAGCTGGGTACTATTCTTGTGCTAGATTTGATCAGACTTGAGAAGTAATGTAACAGTTTTTATGGGATAACTAATCATATGGTTTATTTTATTTTTATTCTCTTCTAGTTTGGCTATTTTGTTATTTTGTTTATTTTTGTAGTGACAACATTAGGGTTTGTTGCGCATGCGCCATTATTCCCAGCTGAGTGTTGAGCGTCTGGCGGAATAACCTGAGTGTGCTGCAGGAACCTTTTACCAAATATTTTAACAATTTGTACGTCATGTAAGATAGTCACAGGACGTGCACTTGGGTAGATAGCTTCAGGATAGATATAGGTATGTGCTGTAAGGTCAAGTTTCTACTTTTAATGTGTGTAGGTAACAAAAATTGGGTTTAACGAAGGAGGGATTACATTTTGAAGCTCAGTTTTGAAATAGTTCATCTGGGTTAGTGCATAACTAGTATCAAATTACATATAATATCGTGTTGCTGGGTTTGCTGTAGTTAGGCAGGTGTTTGTGTGAAGCGATGTTAATGTGTAAAGACTACAAGAAGTGAAAATATGAAATTACTGACCTTCCTGTAGTGCCAAATTACAAACAAATTTCTTTCAGAGTGCAGAGTGGCGGTGGTCTCATATTATAACGATAAAATGTTGGGCTCTGAGTTTACAGGGTGGCCTTTTAAGTGAATGAATTGATTGCTGAATACCACTGGTTAACTCGTAAGTGGAACAAAGGTTCGGTATTCATAGGGTGTCCTTAAGGCACTAGAAAATACTTGACATGAAACATAGGCCACATCAGCTCATCTCTGACCAGATTTCTGTTCTTTAAAATCCTCCAGGACGCTGTGTAGCTCACCACTGATCACATTCATTTAACATTTTCTGTTCCTTTAATGAACCTCAACTGCTTTGGGTGATGATTAGCTGACTTAGGCCCGGTCTGTGGTTGTCATGATCATTTGTGAACAAGTCAGTAGTGAGCAACATTGTATTGTATTATACAGGGTACAGTATTTGTTTTTCATGAAAATTCCCAGTAGAAATATTTAAGCTCTGAAGTTATTGGTAGTGACTAGTTGGTTATACCTTGGGAATGTGGGGTTTATAAATTAGCATTTGTCTTTCTAACCCTAACCAAGTTAAACTTAAATCATGTAAATTTTTGTTTAAATTTGGTTAGATAGGAATGATTAATGCTTACCCTGTAGTTAAAGCTGCTGAAGCTGTATGATGGGCACCACCTAACATAACCTGGGAATGTTTTGTTAGGTTTTGTTGGCTCTGTGAAGTCTACCATTGAGAAAGATCTAGTCCTGCATCATCCATTGCAACCATCGACTGTTGAATTGCTGTCATGCCTATGGAAAATTAAATGCGAGTGAGTTTACAATCATTATATGATCTTGTTTCTACTTCAGAATCACTTTTGTTAAAGATGGTTGAATTATGAAAAGGCTGTATGTAAAATGTATGTAAAATGTCAATGAAACACTGAAAGTAGCATCACCGTAAGGAGGTACATTTACATGATACTGAACACGTAAAAGAAAACATGAGTGCACACAACCTATTACAACCTGACCTAATCTACCTTAGCTAACCTCACCTAACTTCCTAACTTGTGTATTGTCATTTATATTGTCTTTTCATCCAAACAACATCTTTAGAAAAATAACGAATTCAATCCAATATAAATCGTAATAAACACGCCAAATGAGACCGTCATTGGTTTCTTGATATACAAACAGAGATGTGAACCAAATCATGGTCGCCATGGGAGATTCTACAGTGTCATAATTACAGTAAATAATTTATTTCTTCTCTTACAAAGTATCATCCAAAGAACGACTGTGGAAAATATGAACAAAATATATAAACGAATTCTGGTGATAACGGTCTGCTCCACCTTTACCAAATATTAAAAGTGGCGTTCTCGGAAGTGAAGGGTATAGTTGTTGCAGTTACACCTTTGAAAATACCCTTTAACTGCAAACCAGAGAGGTGCAAACTTTAATGCCAAATTGTTTCAAAAATAAACAAGTTTGCTCATTTTACGTCGTCACGGACTACTTTCTACGGCGCATCACCCTCTCTCGACTCGGTGCAGAGTCTCGGTGATTCGCCACCCTCCCCTCCCGCCCTCCTTTGCTCCCGCCATACTCCTCCCCTCCCACCATCCACCTCCCCTCCCACCATCCACCTCCTCTGCTTCACTACCCACCACACACTCGCTCTACCACCTCCGCCCATCGGTGAGTACCAATACAAACTTAGTAGTTTTCTATGTATGCACTATTTTCTATAGAATGGCAATGATTTTCTGTACTGTATATGTAATGTATTTCATGGGGTAAAGGGAGACTCAGGAACATAACTCCTGTACTTTATATATTTTTTTATGGGGAAAATTGATCCGCTTAACGTTGTTTCATATAACGTCGCATTTTTAGGAACGTAATCCCGACCTTAAGCGAGGACTTGCTGTATTTATTTTTCTGAGAGAAACTTTTATTGCTAACTTTACGTTAATTTCCTGAAGAAAGACACTATAGCGCTTGCAAAAACATTTCTCCATATTTTTTCTTTTTTCTTTATGTACTAGTAATTTACAGGAAAATAAATGTACCGTACTATGATTAGCAAAACTTCAAGAGAAATACTGTACTTGAAATGTACAGGAAAAGATGAAACACTTTGATCATATACAGTAATATCTCCGTTAGCCGTAATCCCTCAAACTCGGAACTCTCTGAGAGCCGGAACTGAAATTGCGGCTTTGGGAACGATTTTCCGAGGAGCACATTTTCCATAAAATTCTGAGAAAATTTTTCTGATACCCGGAAAATTCCGGGGTTGGGGGATTTTTTTTGTCCGGGTTTGCAAGATGAAAATGGGACATTTTCTGGAAATTCCAAGAAAATTATTCCGTTACCCGGAAAATTCCGGGAATGAGGGATATTTTTCCGGGTTCGTGAGATGATTTAATAGGCAATTTTTGGAACTTCCGAGATCATTTTTCCGTTACCCGGAAAATTCCGGGGATGAGGGTTTTTTCAGCTTTGAGAGAGTTGTCTCGTTACTCAGAAATCTCTCATTCCCGGAAGTGCTCTGCACCGATTGTTCCAGCTAACGGAGATATCACTGTAATTAGGTATGAGCGGATAATAACAGAAATATTAATAGGCAAAGTTGAGGGTATGAGGGCCAGGGGAGGGCAGAGACTGGGATGGATGAATGAAATAAAAATCTGGGTACCCAGAGAGATACAAAACTCTTGGAGGATTGGTAAAAACAGCCCGAGAATGTTTAGTGATGGACTGTGGTCGCCAACCCTCAGATATGAGAATGGTACTCTGATTGATTTATCCTATTTTTGGCCTGTTGATCCCGTAATAGTCACCAATGGAAGCCTGTCTCCTTTCAATGGCCGATCTAATAAATCCATTGTATTGTTTAGTCATCGCTCTTCTCTGCCTCTTTTCACTAAACTCACTACCACTTGTATTTTGTTTAGATGACAGTCACAAAATGAGCAAGGGCACACAAAAATGATCACGAGAGCAGCACAGTATGAGACCTATAATCACGTGAGCAGCACAGTCCTGTATAACCTTGTTGGATGTGTGTAGACAGAACCATGCAAAACCAAACTAATGCTCTGAGAGAACCAGAGAAGTGCACTACTCTTGAGTTTTTGTTGATGACTGTTGTATTTGATAATTTAGAATACACCCTTAAAGACCTTTGTTATCGAATCTTAGTAATGTACTGTGTAGCAGGTGAACTTGTCAGATCCTTCGATGTAGTATGAATTTTAGCTATGTACAGTGTAAGTATTTATGTGCATGTATGTACAGTATATATATATGTGCACATACAAACACATATGAATGATATTACTTTTCAAAATTCTTTTGCATGTAATAATTTAAGGACTGCACCATCAACTCTGAACTGGTTCAATATTCACAGATATTTAGAAGTATGAGTGGGCGAAGTGGTCTGGTTGGATCTGGTGGTACATCACTAAGTGGTTCAGGTGCTCCATGTGACATCAGTAACCAACCAATGGACTTGGCTCAGAAAACTGTTGCAAGATCCCTGGAATCGGTAAGTACCAGCTAATCCTTAACCAAGGGGCCTTGATGAAGATAACATGACTCTAAATGAGCATTGAATTAATGTTCTTCATTCTATCTGCTATCACTACCACTCAGCCTTATTTTAGAGTGGCCATTTGCTTTAGAAGTTGAGTTGAATAACTCCAGTTTTATACACACACTATATATTTTTTGTTCACTGTGCATGTATTTACTTATTTACTTAAACATCAGCTCCTATGGACGAGCTGCTACTGAATAAAATTGTTTGTGTCACTGCACCCCAGTTAGATTAGGACATCCAGTCCTCCTGCCTTCTTGATACCTCCATAGCCTTCTAATATAAAAGTAAAGTACCTATGGCATGATCCCTGTTGTGCCTGATAGGCCTGTTTGCAAGCTGACCAACTAAAATGGCACAGTTTTGTTTATTTTCATTTAGGAGTACTGTACTGTACTTAGAGAGTACTATATTTTCAAAGGCCGAATCATTTAGAACTTATTTGGATTGTAAGTCATACAATAAATAGATACACATAGATAAATAATAATGATAGCATCAATGGGTGGGACAACCTTAACAATTAAATGCTCAACAGCCTGTAAATAACAAGAAATAATAAATCTGTGGTTAAAAGCAGTGTATTGTACAGTATTTTGTTGTTGATTGATATGTAAAGCTCTTATCCAAAATGAAAGCTAATGTTTTTTAAAAATTTGTGACAAAGGAGATTTCTTATTACATCCCTTATTTTACTGTACAGTATAGTTAACTGGTTTTATTTTTTGAGACTGTGTTGACCAGTAAAAGTGTATCATATTTCATAAGGTGTATATCCTTCAAGTTGCACTACCTTATTAGTCCAGATGATTCAATGTGATCAAATATATAGACCTTTTCGCTCCCCCAGGCCCCGTTGTGGGTCGTTTGCTCTGTGCCCATGTGGGCTAATTCCCATAAAAAAAAATAATTGGCTTTGCCCTTTTCCTGTATTTTTATGCTCATCTTGTACTACTCTCCCCCTACTGTTGTCCTTGTTTTTTAAGGTTTCTGTACCCTGTATTAAGTAGTTATGAATTAATTGTTTCTTATTTCAGGGTGGCATAGTCAAGAGTGGAGGAACCACATTAGTCCATTATACAACTGGAGGAGTTGCCCAGATATTAACAACAAGTGGAGCTACTGCACATGTTGTTACAGCTAAGCCTGGTTAGTTTATTCTTGAAATTACATGTTTGTATTCAGGTACATTTTGTGTATACTGTATACAGTAGGCTCCCATATTTGGACACCTATTTAGACTGTAAAAACCTCGCAAAATTCAAATCGTCCAAATTTAAATACAACTTCCTATGGAGAAAATTAATTTGAGTCTGGTACTTTCGATGTTTGGCTAAATTTTGCCTTATTTACCCAACTTTTGGGGGGAATTACTACCTGTAATAAAGCAACATCCTAATAAACCAACAAAAATAACAGACAAAGTTAATTAAAAACTAAAAACAACACAGAAAAAGTTAATTAAAAAAAAATCACCTTGTCAGCCAAACTATATTTTGCATGTTTCTTGCCAACTCTGTACCCCCTTTATGCCTTTGGCGGTTCTGGGCGCTTAGGAGGGTTCCCATTCAAACCAGGTTGATCCCCATCACCTACTAGTTCAACACTTGCCATATCAAGGGCGCGAAATGAGCGTCTAAACACAAGATCACCAAGAGATAAAGTTCTGGCTGTCTCAGTGCATGGGCGGGAAGGAACTAATGGCGTTGCTAGCGCCACAAACAACTAAGATAATTTGCATGAATGAAAATGGCTTGTGACACCACTGAAGGTCTGGTAGTGAAGAGACAAAAGTTCCTGCACTTTGAGACCAGCAGACAATCTTTCGCAATTCCTCAGACCTCAATAGATGGTGCTGCCGCACCACTGCCATTAGTAAACAAACTGCACAGCAGCAAAGGTTGTGTAGCTGCAGCCGTTTATTTTATATTTTTTACCTACTAAGTAAGTAAATAATCATATTTTTTGCAGTATATCAACAATATTAGTTTAATCAATTGTTTTATGGTACCTGTATAGAGAATACTTGTAATTGCTAAGTAATGAGGTAACAGTCTTTGTAAGGGGCTGATTTCAGTTGACCCTATGAAAACCTCCGCTACAACCCATCAACTATCGTCGTGGAAGACGCTCAAACCCGTTGAAATTTGAAATTGTCTATTTTTTTTTTTTTTTTTTTCAAAATAAAAAAATACTTTGAATTAAAAACTCGCAAAATTTGAGAACCTACTGTAGACTGATTTTGGTCAGATGTGTCACATAGTGAAGTATTTACACAATCTTATATTTTCCTAAATGACTGATTCAAAATTTTAATCTAGGTTTAGAATTTCTTTTGATAGTGACATTGTGTATTTGAGGCTTTATATTATTGTCTCCCTTTCCATGTTTGCACAGTGGGCAGAACAGAAAGTATGGGTGTTGGTGGACAAACTGTTACTCTGGTTTCACGTACCTCTGGCCCACCAACGGCCCTCAACTTAGCCTCCCCAGGACCTGGTGGTGGGAGTGGCCCATCTGTGCGGACAGTGTCTCATCCTGTAGGCACCTCTGCTAATAGTGCCATTGTGACCTCTTCTTCACCCGCTCATCTAGCTTATCATATTCCACGAGGAGCAGCAGCTGTGGCAAATATGTCGGCCCCAAGGTCACAAACTGTAGCCACACCCATTGTGAGGACAACAGGGCAGCCCCTTGGCCAGCCAGGTTCTAATGTTACTGGACCGTAAGTAGCAATTTCTTGAAATGTAGAATGAAACATGAGGTATTTATTATAAAGTACAGTACTATGGTTTTGAAGATGTTTATGCTTGGTAGGAAGATTGTATGTTACATATATTGAAGTATGCAAAGTGTTCATTATGAAATACAGTACAGTACAATACTTTGGTTTTATGTAGCAAATATTTACGCAGGACTTTTTCTTCCTTTTTTTTTTTTTCAAATCTGGGATCATAAGTCACAAACAAGACTTGCATTTTTGGGGTCACTTTCTACCACATCAGCCATTATGCTTGTGTGTATATGTGTGTGTTGTTAGTTACGGTATGTATTGTAATGCTCAGTCAACTCATTGATGTTACATTGTCTACCTACTGATGCAGATGCCTCACTATGGCAACTACCAAGCTTGCTTCCATGTCATAAAAGTGGTATGTAGCATAGATGGCCTTAGGCAGAGAAGTCCAATCTATGTACGATGCTACTGTATATCTTACCCATACAGTTGTAGCTACATTTATGACAGCCAAGAATATTTATCTCCTTTTTCTAGATAGTTTTTCACATAATCTCGAATACTGTACCTTATCTTTAGACACTTCATAATTTAATATTACTGTATTTTCATTGTTTTTATGCTCTGTCCACCATCACCGGAGGGCATTCTGTGTTTGCCTTTTCTTTCCTTGGGGTTAACATTATTTGTCCAGGCGAGGACATATGTTTTACAAGCATTTCCTAGTTTCTTAACATCTTAGCCTCTTTGTAAGCATTATAAAACTACTTTGATTTACATCTGCAGAAGTATTAAAGGTTTTGTGATGTAATTTATTTATGATATTTCCTGGATCAGCCGTTGCAATGTGGTAGGACAGCGTGTGGTGCCTGTATCAACTAGTGGAGGATGTTATCGTGGTGCACCGTCCCCTGCTCACACTGGCAAAGTTAGCCCTGCCATTCATCCTAATGTCACTGGAACTAGTTTAAGGTGTGTCACTGTTTAGAACTTTTTAAACATTATCTTGAGTTTCATCCATTACAAAAAAAAATATAATTGAATTGTTAATACATGACAAGCAGTTGAATATACCATTAATGAAAAAGAACAATGTATTTTGGATTGTGTGAATGACCAATAATATTAGGTTTGGCCTTTGCTGTGGGAATTCAATGAAGGAGATAAACTAAAAATTAGTAATATAATCTCTGAAATGAATTGCATTCCATGCTCATAAGCTTAATATTGTTTGCAGTCTTGGAGTAGCACGAGGTTCCATGCCTGTGCCGCGGCCTGGGCAGCCACCTGGATCCATAACCACTTATCATGCTGGAGGAAGGCCTGCCGGGGTGCCTAGTGGACCCATTAGGGGAGCTGGAGGCACCACCATGAGAGGGATGGTGACTGGGGAAGGACCGAGGGGAGCAGGTCCTAAAGCTGTTCACATCACACAACCTATAGTCCAGCCACAGGTTAGTATGGAATATATAGCAGTATACTGTAGTCCCATATGTTTGTAGGATTAGTTTTCTTTTTAACCCTCTCGCACATCATGACACAAATCGCGTCAAATCATCGGGTAGCACTATTTGCATCGGTGACACGAATTCGCCCCAAAAAGTTTTCAAGATAATTGCGTCAAATTTTCCTGCGTCATAGATGACTGCATGATCTTGCGGGGGAAGCTTCCAGAATACCAAAGCGTGGATGGAGTTCCGCCGTCCATCAGTTTCCTCCTGTCAGCCATGCTGGTAGGTTGCATTTACGTATCTCTCTATTTCTTCTCCCACCTTCCCTACAATTAGTCATGTCAAAATTCCAAGGACACCGTTGAAAAGTTCATAAAATCACGCTTCTATAACTATAATACTGTACCTTGATTGGTTTATGAGAAAATGTCAGAGATATGATACTGTATTGGGAACACAAATAATTTTTTTCTTCTTTATTTGGAGTAAAAAAAAAATATTCACATCTTCATTTTGTTCTGCTTATGTTAAAGCCAAAACAAAAACAAAGTCAGTGATGTATAAATCATAAAAAAAAATCATGTGGGAAAAATTGGCCACAGAGCGAAGATGGCCAGACCTTGTGTGAGTGGTCCCATATGACTTTTGTCGTGGTCATGGAAACATACACACTTATTGCGTGCGCGGGAGGGTTAAATATCATAAAATTTAGTATTATAGAGCCTATGGAGAAATGAGGTTCAGTTCTCAGTGTCCTCCTTGACTATACTTGCTTTTTTGTCTGTGTTCTTCATTATACAGGTACAAGAATTGTTTTTTCATAAATTTGTATATTGTAATTTTGTTTGCCACAAAAATTTTTTGACCAATTTTTTTACTTTTTCACAATCCTGTCATGAGAAAAAATTCAAATTGCAATAAACAAGGAACACCAGTATATGAGTATTGTATGTACTGTATTTCCTTTTTTTCTTTTTTTTTATTCATATAGGTAATTTAATTTTTCTTTCGTTTAATTCCTATTTCTTCATTGTTCATTTGTGGATATCGTATGCTGTCTTACCAATGATTTAACCACTGAACTCCTGTGTTAAAAATTCTTTCTGTAGCTGTGCTTAATATGTAAATATGTGAGGTTTAACCCACAGTGACTGGATATTATTATTATTTTTTTTTAACATTCATTTCCTCTTCAATTTAATAACTGAATAATCCTTCTACACATTTGGTTTAAACTAGTGAGTGAGAGAAATATTGGTCTTTGGAAGGTTTCATATCATGTTATCCCATACTTGTAGGAAAGGTAATTAATAAATGAAACTGAGCTTCGTTATGATGATGTGAAATTACAATTAGACCGATGGTGGTTGCGACTTACTTGACCTTGATTACGTATCCCACAGATCCACATTATATTTACTAAACATCCACATCACATCCACATCATCTCCACTAAACATCCACCATTCACCCACACAGTCATTGAGGTCTGTATAATAATCATAGGTTTTATGCAGTAGTGCAAGGAGAAAAGTTACTCCCATATTTATTGGGTAAGTTTGATTACTATACTACCAAACCATGCATGCTATAAGAAAACCCAAAACACCAATCTCTTAAAAAATAAAAGTTTACTACATTTTATGATACGATTTGATATAACAATTCCTGGTCTGAATACCCTTGCTTTAAAAAAATGCTTTTCTGTGCACAAAGGGCAAGGCAGTGGAACAAAAACCAAATTTCTCTTACATAAGGGGGTACAGTAAAGTTATTATTATTTTTATTATTATCATCATGATTTTAATTTTTTATTGTAACAGTATTACTGTATACAGGTATACAGCGATATCTCCGTTAGCCAGAACAATTGGTGCAGAGTACTTCCGGGAATGAGAGATTTCAGGGTAACGAGAACACTCTCAAAGCCGGATAAAAATCCCCCATCCCTGGAATTTTTCGATTAATGGAAAAATTTTCCCAGGAGTTCCAGAAATTGCCCATTACATTATCTTTTGAACCCAGAAAAATATCCTTCATCCCCAGGTAACAGAAAATTTTTCTCGGAATTTCCAGAAAATGCATCTGATTTTCATCTCTTTATCCCTGAAAAAACTCCTTCATCCCTGGAATTTTCCGGGTATCAGGAAAATTTTTCTCAGAATTTTCTGGAAATCGTTCCCAAAGCTGGAATTTTCCAGCTTTTGGAACGATTTTCCGAGAATATGTCAATTCCGACTATCGGAGAGTTCCGGGTTTGAGGGATTCCAGCTAATGGAGATATTACTGTATTTGGATACAGTATTTTAAGATATTTGAGGAAGGGTATTGTAGTGGGTTTGGTCCAGTATATAGTGAATTCATTTGGTATAGAGAGGAATATAATACTGTACTGGAATCTAAGGAGCAGTTTGGTATATTGCAAATTTTGGGAATATACAGAAATACGAAATACCCTGTAGAGAAGTAATACTGTACAGTATATACAAACAGTCCCCATCTTACGACAGGGATACGTTCCTGGACCCTCATTTCAATGAAGGAATGCATAGAATTGTTTTACATATGAAAAAAAAAATTCTAACCAACATCAAACTGAAATGGATTGAGGTAAGTTAGATGAGGTCATTGGAACAACAGGTTGTGTAATTTGGTAAAAATTTCTTAACCAGGAGTCAAGTGTTAGGTCACGTGTTTTGTTACAACTGTATATACCTACAGTATATATATAACCTTGGTCTTCTGTAACTTCTTGTCAATATCCTCAGTTATTTACTACTTTTTTTATTATTTAATGTTTTGTCTACAGAATAGACATGATATCTGCAGAGTACAATAAATATAATTTGAATGGGATGTAGACCAAATAGGAATAGTAACCATTTCAAGAGTAGACACAATGGGATGTTACTATACAGTATATTTATCTACTGTATTACCTTAAACGTTGATGGGAATACATATGCTATTCTAAGTTGCAGCAAGACTTTGAGATAAGCTGATTATTAGTGGGGTAAGTTTTGATTGTCTTTAGATTGAAAATGGTTACTTGTAGTATCAATTTATCTTTGTAAATTTCATTTTCTTTGTTTTATTTCATTCATTATTTGTCATCATTAATTTTATTCATTCATTGTAGTAACGAATGATCTCAAGATTTCCAAATGTGCTGTTGGTCATTCAACAGCACCTGGGCTTGACAATGCAGGGAGGCAGAAGTGATACTTGTCCAAAGTTCAGGTCAGGTCATTGTGAGAATAGACTCACAGGAGGAATCAGCTGTGACGTCACTGAGGCTGCAGCATGCACCTGGGCTCTCTTAGATCACGTCATTGTGAGAACAGAAAAGTCAGAGATCAGGTCAACTGTAATGTCACAATATGGTTAGTGTGAGTGTATTAAGAAGAAAATCCAAAGCTGACACTGGTGCTATACCTCTGGCTTTGGAGCCAAAGCCAATCCAAAAATATTTCACTTCCAGAAGCTGCAGCTGGCTTTAGCCCCATGTCTCACACACACACACACACACACTGTATGTATATATATATATATATATATATATATATATATATGAGTACGAGGTTAAAACATTTTCATTTATACTCCATGAATATTGAGATTCCATTTGCTTATTTAATTTCTTGTGTTGAGGTTCTTTAGTGGTAAACAACCCTACTCTATACATTTTTATGCTTAAGTTGTGATGTCTGTTAGTGATTATTGAGATGTTTCATCGTTGATACAGAAATACGGAACTAGTATGGGTGCTGTGATGAGCAGTGGAGGTCGTGGTGTGGTGCCAGGACCAGGAGCAACAGCTTGTTCTACTGGTGCAATTTACACAGGAAACCCACTGGTCACCACCATGGCTGGGCCTGGTCTTAACACCCAGGGTACTATGAGAGCACAACCACCTCCGGCCATTGTTAGAATTACTACTGCATCCAATCCCACGTCTACATCATCATCAGTAAGTTTAGTTTTTGAAGGTTAAAAAACATGTAACGAAGATTGCATGCTTTGTGACTGTACCAAAGTGACAAAGATTGCCACTACTGAAAGGGGATGTATTTCACTAGATAAAGATGATAGCAGTGAGAGGTAATTAAGACATTAGTAGATAGTTCATAATTGGTGGGATGGTTGTCTTCATGTATGATTTTCCAAAGATTAATAGTAATTTACCCTCAAGTGTGAGGAATGCCAGGAGAGGTAAGGTATCAAGGACGGTGTATACCATATTTAGAAAGTTCTTTGGGGTTTTGGTAATTATAGTGTTCATTTGATATTTATGCATTTACAGAAAGTAGCAAAGGTTCTTTGAACAAAAATATTGGGAAATAGATAATGGATATAGTGTATGGTAAATGGATAGGGTGAGGGAAATAATGTATATTCACTCACACTTGTGCTGCCCTCAAGTGTGAGTGAAGTCTTTTGTAAGGTATACTGATACTGTACAAGATTCTACTGGTTTTATAACATGGTTTGGGATGATCATTTTTTTTATCTTATGGCTTGTTTTAGGCATCATCATGATATGTATTATCTCATGACTTTTAAATACAGATTACATCACAAGCTGGTACAAATATTGGAGCAATAGCAATGACTTCCCCTTCTGGTCAAACACCGGGTGCCATTTTGACACATCATCCTACCATGCAGCGGACACATCAGGACCATCATGTCCCTCTCAAAACACCCATTGGTAATTACAATTTTTACATTGTGGTAAAGATTGAGTGTTGAGCCGATTACATTGCTACATAACGTTAAGAAAAAACATTCAGATACTATAATTTATAACAAGATTATTATGCTAGGGATTGAAGTGAAGCAATATAAAAACAGTCTTTTACAGATATGGACTGAGGCTGTGAGTATTGTCACCTCATGTGTAGAACTGTTCAATTTGATGTTTTTTTGTTTTTTTATTTTTTTATTTTGAAACTCCAACTATGACTTGAGGCTGAATGTAGTACAGTAAGATCTTGTATTTCGCGAGTAATATAGACTGGAAAAATTGCGCCAAATTCAAATTCGCCAAATGCAAATACATAAACTAATGGGAAAAATAACAATATAGACTGGCCACTCTACATCAACCTCTGATTTTCCCATTTATAACTTCGAAATGATACAAATTCTGCCTTTATTGACCTGATTGTGCTTTCTGGAAACTAGTTTTTAGGCCTCCCTCAAGTAACTTAATCACACGCTGCTTATCCTGCATCGAGTACTTGGCAAACTTAACTCTCTTATGATAGTCCCGCTTCTCCTATTCCTTATTTGGCCGCTTAGGTGAGTCTGTTCCATCCCCACCAGCACCAGTAGGACTCCCAGTAGAGGTAGAGGCCATTATCTTGACTCGACAGGTGGCAGCACCACCCAAAAAAGCACACATTAGCAGCCCAGGCAGTTGCTAGGGTGGCGCGGGCTGCAACGCGATAGTTGCATTCTTATAGACCTCTTTTATGTTAATCATTAACACAACAAAATTGGAGAAAACAGCGAAAATCACGGAGCAATCGACAGAAACCGCGCGATTCAACTGATCACGTGATGTAAACAGAGAGCGCTGGTATAAACCGTTATTAGTCCTCACTGCAAAACATTCTTTTTACTTATTCTTTTCATACAGTATATATGGGTAGCAGCTAAATTTGCAAAAAAAAAAGAGCGAAATTTACAGAGTACCTCTCAATAAACACTTCACAAACAAAAGACGTAAATAATGATTATTTTTTGGTAGGTTAAAACAATTCGTATGTTGAGAACCGAGATAATAAAAAATATTCTTTGTTTGAAGTCAAGTTAATTTTTCTGAAACTATTGGGGATGAAGACTTTTTGTTACCAAAAGTACTCATGTGAAAGAATTTCAGGCTTGATTAGTCTTGGGATATGAGCAAATTGAGTTTTTTGGGAGAGCTACAACATGACTATGAACCTATTGCAATGATTTTTTCTGATATTTGGAGGTGAAGACCGGTGATCCTCGAAATATACACGTGAAAGGATTAATGGCCTAAAAGATTCATTATTTGATTTTTAACAAGTTAATTTTCTCTGTTATACTATGATACAGTCTCAAATAACTACAGAGCCATTGGGAGTTTTAATTTTGATTTATTTATTTTCAGTGCGAACACCTGTAGCTGCACATCAGACAAACAAACCAAGTGTTCAGGCCCAGACTGTTACATTTTCTGATGGCCCAAAAGTGATCACACAGCCAGCACAGGGACCACCTCTGGCTTTGGCTCAGATCTCTGGCTTGGCTGGTGTAGCTACCCAGAAGGCTCAGGTCAACACTCACACAGTTCAGCAGCAACATTCTACCAGTGTTCAACACAGAGGTTGTAGTCTAAAAAAATCTTATACTTTTTTGTGTGTATACATACTGTTGGATCACATTCAAGGCAATATGAGACATACCTGATTTTAGCGGACAGTGATTCCATTTCGGTCATAGTTATTTAATATTTATTTATGAAAAAGAGCCTTTGAAATGCAGCTTTCATATTATTTTTCTAAATAACTTCATGTTCTGCCATCAGGTGGAAGTGTTGTAGGTGGTGGTGTAGGTCGTGTCATGGGTGGAGCAGCAATACCAGTGGCCAAAGTTCTTCCTCAGCAAGCCACAACACCCTCCCAGGGACCAATATCAGTAGCCACTACACCAAGGCCATCTCACGGACAAGTACGGGCACAGTCCCCAGGTCAGGCAGCTGATGGTCAACCTGCTCACACTAGTGTGTTCTTGCATCGTGCTCATGCTGGTATGTTGTTCACCCAATTCATTGGTTTTGTTACATTTTTGTGAAGAACTGCGTGTACCTATATGTGCGGTATTCTTATTAGGATATTTTATCCTGAGCGGGGATCCAGAGGACCAGGAAAGAGGAATTTATTACATGATTATAATTATGTGTGTTTGGAGAAGTAAAGAACAAATGTACTTTTCTGATACAGCCAAGGAGGTTGCTGAATGAATATACTGCTTGATAACACAACTCGGTTAATTCATTTTCTTAACAGTGCATAAAATGTTAATGGGAACTGAACCACATTAAAGGGTTTACAAAGCTGTAGGTCTCCAGTCTCTGTCACAGGGAATTGAACTCTAAGGGGAAAACACAAGTTCCTTTGAGGATGACTGGAACTGTTAACCAATATTATTCTGGCAATCTTAGAACAAAGTCTTATACCTGTACAAAGGACTTGTCTGTAATGAAACATTTTGAAAGTTCTTTTACTTAACACCACAGTTTTAGGGATAACACATCATAACAGTATTTGCACAGGAATTGAGGTTTCCACTAATATATAGGCAGTTATAACATCCAGTCACACAATCAAATACTGTACGGGTACAGAATTCACTCAATATTGTACAAAGGACAGTCCCTGAATGATGCCCTGGGTGGGGAAAAGAATAGTACCTGCACAATGAACCCTATTTGGTTGATGATGCTATCCAAAGTAGCAGTGAAAATACATAATGTATTGTGAAGTGTTAAACTAATTTATAAATTTCATACATGTGAAGACTGCATGTACAGTAAATTGTGAATATTGGATGGGGAAATGTTCATTTATTGGATTCTTAAGATTCCTGGTGACTGATTTCCAAGGATTTGCTGTATAAATATTATTTACAGTGCTTAACTTTGCAGGTGTTACAGTAACTAGTGGTGTTACAGTGGGCCAGGGAGAGCGAGTAGTGACAACAATGCCACAGTACAGCATTACACCACCTTATTACTATGAACAAGGACAGAACACTTACCAGGTATATATAAAACTTTTGTTGTGTTGTACTGATTTATTTTATTTATTTTTTCTGTATTATAAGGAGGTTAGATTATGTTGGATTCATTAACAATTGAATAATTTAACAATATATTTAGCAAGGAAGTTGAATACTCTATATGAATATTAAAGTATTACAAGACTAAAAATTGACACAGCTGAATCATATAATAGCTGTTACACCCTTGAAAAGAACCTGTTAACTACTGCTGCATTTAGGTTGAAATAATAAAATAACATGGAGCATATTGAACAGATGGGATATTACCATCTATAAAAGTATATAGCTAGGTATTTTCCAATTTTCAATGGCAGTGGTTGTTAAGAGTTGATAATAAGATTAATTCTGACTTTGTGTAGTGAGTTGAGCAAAAAGGGTAATGAACTGAACAATTGGAGTGTTTTGTCACCCACATTGTATTTACATTCTTTTATTGATATATTTTTGTTGCTTTATATTTATCAATACAGTAGAACGCCGATATAACGCAAGATACATTCCAAGAGAGGTCGCTTTAAACCGAATTCGTACTAAATCGAAGTGTTGATTCAATGGAATAATTTAGTTTGGTACTTGAGAGAAACACAAAATACTAAAAAGACTGACAGTCTACCCAGATGCACCTCAGCCTATCTTCTAGAATAAACAAAACATTGTTTTTTGTAGTATTACGTTAAAAGAAACATTCCTAAATCAACACAGCTAAAATTAAGGGATGTGAAATGGTCTGTTTACTGGCTGGGAAGATGGGGGGAGGGATGGAGGTGAGGTGATATGTTTGTCGGTTGATGCCAAGGTCTAGTGCTTATTTATTTATCTGTTCTTAAGAGTGACTAAGTTTTTCTCTTATAAAATGTCACTGAACTGACCTGGGAGAATATAATTAACATTGCTAGAATTCTTATAAGATAGTGATTAGTTTGAATATAAACATGCTATAGTTCGCATGAGACATACAAATTTTAGTTCTAACTAATTTTATGCAAGGGCTAAAAATTTTATCTTGTGCAAAATATATGACGTTTATATTCACATTATTCGCTGTCTTGCAAGGATTCTAGCAATGCAAATTATATTCTCCTAACTTTAGACTACTGTATGATATTATATAAGATAAAAACTGTAAGCCTATAACCACCCAACTCTGGCTGGGAAGATGGGGGGAGGGGGGGGGGTGACAGTGACACGTTTGACAGTTGGGGCCCAAAGGTCTAGTGAAGTATTTATTTGTGTCCTTTAGATTGAGTTTTTGTTTATAAAATGTCACAGAAGTGACCGGGGAGAATATAATTTACATTGCTGGAATTCATATAAGATGGTGATTAATTTGAATATAATCATGCAATAGTTTGCACTAGACAAAAATTTGAGTAATCATTTAGTACATTATTTTGAGTACATGTACAGTACAGCTTTGCCCTTAGGACAGTGTAGCGTGCCCAGAGAAACATTAGGCACGAATTTTAAAATATAATGCGCCAGATTGACTCGCACACAATAGGAAAGATTCGCTTTAAATTAAAACATTGTCCTTAATTGTGGGTGTCGCTTTAAATCAATAATAAAAAATTGAATCGCTTTAAATCGACGTTCTACTGTTTATTCATTATATTCTAATGTGTTAAAATTTCATATAAATCCATCCATAACTATAAAAAAGGTTCCAGTGTGATGATCCCCTAAAGGAAAGAAGTATCTGTGTGTGTGTAGAGAGTATAATGTATATATTAATAGCAACACGTGATAACAGTATGATTATTCACTGTCTTTGAACATTTTGTAATCCCCAGTTTTCATGGATGTTTATCATATCCAATGGCATATTGATCCTGTTTAGACATTTTTTTCAGAACTGTGAACTTTCCCTGAGTTTATATGAGAGTACTGCAGTAATATGCAGATTTTTATAATAGTCCACATAAGTTTTATGATCTTTTGTTTTTACCAGAAGCTCGTAATGGCTTTAGATTTTCAGCCACAAACAAGCTGTTAATTTTAACTTAATCTTTCCTATTACTGTACCAGGTTGGTGGAACAACTCTAGTGCCTCACACCTTAAGTTCCACACACTATGTTCCTGCCAGTATGCAAGGTGGAGGTTTGCGTGTAACAGCTGGACCATCTAATACAAATATGGCTGGTGGTGGGGGAGTAAATGGGCCAGGACAAATAGGAGAAGCTCAAGTTACTCAAGGGAATGTGCCAATGCCTTCTATGAAACCCAATTCATCTCCCAGACCATCTATTTTAAGAAAGCGACCAGATAATGATGGGTAAATGAAGTTGATTTTACTAGTTCTGTAAATGGCATCTGATTGAATATGAGATTTTCCGTGTGACTAGTTTAGGTCTCAGATATGTTTTACTTCAAAATTTCTTGGATAGTGTTGTTTGTCACTAAATGTTGTATATATATGCATATATATATATATATATATATATATATATATATATATATATATATATATATATATATATATATATATATATATATATATATATATATATATATATATATATATATATATATATATAAAATTGACAATATGTAATTAGCCAATAATTGAGTCATTGTGTAGTATATATTACAGTGGGGTATGCTATAACGAACGGATCCTACTACGAATATTCCTATAACGAACGGTTTTACCTATAAAATTGAGAATGCTATAACGAACGAAACTCCTACAACGAACATAATTTAATGTTTTTTTTTTTTTCTAATTTATTGTTTTATTATTACAAATATTAATGCTATTCTTTATTTCAGGGGTTTAGATGCATATTTATGCACTTTTTTACAATTTTTACAATTTTATATTATATTTTTCAGTGTTAAGTGGTTGTATTTGGGGGCCTGGAACGGATTAATCCTATAACAAACGAATGCTATAACGAACAAGGTTCTAGAACCAATTAGATTCGTTATAGCATACCCCACTGTATCTTGACTTGGCTCATTTGAGAGATATTGATTCACTGCTCCCGATTTAATATTACAAGAATACATCTGATGTGTTCTTTTTGCTTCAGGTAACTTTCACTTTATTCTATCAAATGATCACCATCTCACTTACATTGCATTAACAGCATTTATGTTTTTCATGAATAGGCATAAAAGATCAGGCTTCATAATTTCTCACTTATATAAATAAGAAACTTTCTTTGATTACAATGCTAATATGTGTTGAACAATCAGATTTCTCTTCTTTTTTTGCATGCAGAATTCCATTGAAAGCAACCAAAAACTTGACTGCAGCACTCTCCTTGCCCATGCCTTCCCCTCCATCTCCTAAACGACCAGATTCACGGGGTAATGGAAATGCATCTTCTGGCTCCACAACCATATCTGCTAATTCTTCACCTGGTAAGTACAAATTATTTTGATATGTTATGGTATCCAGCAAACTGACTTTTTCCTCACTTATGCCAAACTGTATTGTTGAAGAACTACTAACCCAAAGCCTCTTAGGATTGAGGAATGACAGCATGGCATCAAAGTGATTGTTTTTCTGACAATTTTAGAAGTAATGCAGATAGAATGTGAAACTGTTATTTCCTTGTAAACAATATGAAGTCCCTTAGCATAGCCAGTAAAAGATAGCTTGTGAAAGATTTTAGGTGACAAGCAGACAAGTTTATTTTGATCATATGCCAGATTTAATGAGTGGGACTTAAGACTTTGTCATGTCCCTTCCTTCTTGCTAATGGTAAAATGCAGATTGTTGTAATATGTGCTTTCAACTGAAACTTTGCATGTTGACATTAAAACAAAGGAAAATTCTTACAACTTCAAAAATATTTGAGGAACTAATTTGGGTGATCTTGTTAAACATTTGCTGTAGTCCACAAAAGACTTCAATGGGTATTATGGAAACCTTTACATATTCTTGTAAAAAAGACTGGCTTTACAGCTAGCCCTGGTTGATGTTTATTTACCTCATATCACGGTTTCATAATTACTTATGATGGAAATAATTAATGTGTACAGTATGTCTTCCATTTTCCCACTACTGATTAGTGACGTGTACAGTATACAGTACATCTCTACTTTAACATTTGCAAAACTCATCATTACTTGATAGCTTTCATTAGTTTCTCTCTCTTCTTTTGTTCTGTATAGTATAAGTTGGAAACCTGTTGAAAAGTACATGTTTTGAGCTCATGGGTGTGTAACAAATATAATACAGTATATGGAGAGTCCTAAGGGTAAGCAAATTAATTTTTGAACATATGCATGTTTTACTCAACTTTAAATTTAGGAACTGCTCACTGTTGAGAGGCAGCTGCTTTGCATGTTGTTTGTTTATGGGTCAGGTATATTTTTTATTGGCATTTTATTTGCTTATATTTTTCTTAACAATGTAATAATTGCTTTGCATATAAAAGTCTATGATAATTGCTTTGCTTTGTACAGTATATCAAATAAGGAAATGACTCCTGTTCTGAAACAAATATCTCTGCTTTGTAAATTATGGTGTATGTGTGTGTTCTTGATGTGGGATACTAACAGTCACTGTTCTTGTGCTCTCAAGACTCTTCCTTATCAGGTCTTCAAATAGAAGAACTAGATGGCAACACAGCACCGGGGAGTGGCAGCGGCACTCGAACCCCTCCGGGAATCAAACAGGAGCCGCCAGAGGATGCTACAGTTGTGCTTCCAAGACCACCATCACACTCCATTTCTGCTACAGATAGTTCTGGCCATTTGACAGCCACTATCACTACTACCACACTAACAGTGCCACAACCACATCTCTCTGTCACTGGTTTGCACGGGGCTGCTCAAATTTTAGCTGATGGGCTCTCGCCAAGGAAAAAACCCAGGAAGCAACAATTGTGAGTCATTTTGTTTAAAACAAATATGTATTCTGACCATCAATCAGTATGTTATTATAATTTTTATCTGGTAACAAAAGTCTGGCTACTATACACCCTCCCGTAGTAGAATCTAATCTGTTCTTATTTCACAAAAATTGTCATTGGTACCAGGTACAGTATATAGTAGATATTGGACTTCTACACTTATATTGTGGCTTTAAACCTCTTGTATCAGATTCAACTACTGTAAATGGTATTGGAAAATTTAAGGCTCCACTTAACCTTTTCCCGAGCTAATTAGGACTTCATCCTCCCATACTTCCCCCATTCTAAGTATTTAGGAGTTCTATTTAGTCATTTGTTATTGCACAAAGGATTCTTATGTCATGAGTATTTTCAGTGGGGGACACACATGCTTATTCCCCCCCCCGTATCTGCGAACTCCATATTTGCAAGCTCACTTATTCACATAAAATTATTGGTGACCCTTGTTTTAAGATTCATAATCGAAATTTAGTTATCTTGGTTGTTGGAAATATTATGTCTTGTCATTGGTAGATACGCATCTCCCGCCCCATACTTCATGGTTAGTCTGTTCTCTTGTGTGTGCCACACCAGTATATGGATGTGGGAAGAGGGTACTGTAGTACCCCAATATTTTCAGTATAACGTGTTATACATTGCACCACAGAGTACAGTATGTAGGACACCAGAATGGACGAGTTGGTGGTCAGAAGTTTTCGTAAGATGGCAGGTCATTGGGTAAAGAAAATGCTTAAATTCACTATGGTAATGATATTTTTAAATAAATTGGGCCAAAAAGTGTACAAAATAAGTGTTAAAGTTGCTAAAAAGTCACGTGACTTCGAAAAGCCCTGTGATTGGTTGTGACATCACTGGCTGGGGCGAGCCGCCCACCAGGACGCAGCCAGCTGTAGTTGTCCAACCTTCTCGGCTGATCGGCTCTGTAAATAAATATTATTACGGTAGATAATTAATTGTGCTTTACTGTGCAACACATTAATACTATTTTGAATATATAAATATTACTAAGCACATAAACTAATTCAGTGGACATTAGCTGCCCATACAACAAATTTCATAGTAATAAACATTCCAAACAATATTAGTATTGTTTTGGTCTTGGCCATCTGGGGAACCTTTAGATTCTAACTATGGGATTAAGTTCTTTGAACAATAAGACACATTATCTCTACAGGATTTCTGTCGCAAAATTTTTTTTGATCGCATAAGAAAATACAGATCATAGTTTAGGTTAGCTTAACATACATCAGTAAGGGTGGGTAGTAACTCAAAACTAGTGATTTCCAATAGAAATGAAGGTTTAAATCGTTCATAACACATCACAAACCATCAGAAAAACAACCCAGTCTGCATGTCTAAGTACAGGGATGACCAAAACTTAAAATTTACCCAATATAGCATCCAAATACTCATGGTAGTTAAAGTAAAATTTTACCCATTAATTAAAATAAATGATGATATATCCCAGTGGTTTATTCAAGAATCACTAAAACAATAACAGCACTATGTTGTCATATTTACATAGCATTAGGCATTCTCAAAACAAAGTCCAGAACATCATTACTTCTAAATTTACTCGTATCTCCATCTAGTACAGTACTGATATACACTGTAAATGCACTTTAAAAAAAAAGAGAGAGAGAGAGAGAGAGAAAGAAAGTCTACCTGGTAAGAATACATGACAGCTGAGTTGGTGTGAACATGGGAGTTTTTTATATCCAAAAGAACATAATGATGGAGGAAACTGCAGCAGGCCTATTGGCCCATACTGGGCAGTCCCATTTACCCCCCAACCCCTGCCACTCATATATCCATCCAACCTATGTTTGAAGCTGCTCTTCATGGCACATTTCTTCATGACTTAGACCATAAAAAAAATACCCGTAAAACTTACCTGAACGTGGCATTTGGGGTCTGAAGAAGCCATCCTTTCTACTACTTCCGACTGCAGCCATGAGTTTGAAGGTAGTGACGGCATTGCAAATGGCAGCCCTGTTTCTCGAGAAATAAACTTATCTCGACTATTATAGCAGGACTTTAAACTTTTATTACAAATTATATATACCGTACCACTCTATGAACCTGGCGAGTGTATTTCTTGTGTTTACCCAGAACCATCAACTCGTCCATTAACATTAAGTGCTCCTTGGTAAAATTTGCTTTCTACAGTACTGACCCAGTAACACTTAACATCATCCCCCATTCATGTCAGGCCACTGTATGTCCCTGTCACTTAAGTATGGTGGGTTAGTGGTGAACTGTTTATCTAAAAGGATTAACCCAGGCTGACACTAAGGGGGCCTCATCCTATGAACTTAACCCTTGAATACGATGGGTCCCTCTGCTGAATAAAATCATCTGGTGTTAGCCAAATAAAATATTAAAAGTGGCATCCAGTAGTGAATGGGTTAAGGATCTCTTAGTATTACAAGAACCACGTGGTTTTTACATACATATTCTAGTACAGCACTTTGAGTTATTAACCATTATCTCCGTTATCATACTGTATGTGCTGTAGCTATATTCCCCATTTGTACTGAAAGATTTCTCCGTTGTCCATTAGGAGTAATTAATGGAAATCTTTTAGTTAATATCCTGGTATTAAGTATTTATGTTTTCTACAGAATGGGTAATGAACTGCAGGAAGCCCGTTCTAGTGAGGATGACATGGACCATCCACCACTCAAGAAAAACAAGAGGGAGTTGGCTGAAGACCATCAAGGTTAGTAAAACTGAATTAAACTTGAGAAAACTTAATCGTACATTGATGGTCATATTCTATCATACTCTAATTATTTTAGTATCTGTGTATCTCTCTTTTCCAGGACAATTTTGTGGTATTTTCATCTGTACTATTCTCTTTCTGAGCCTTCTAAACACTTCTTAACCCATCCTATTGGGATCTCCCACAACCTCTGACAAGCTCCCATGAATCTTTGTGATGTTGAAGCAAGTTATACTATTACTCCTCATAATTATGACAGGTGTCTCAGTGGTAGCGGTGACAAGTTTCTACTTCTATCATCATCTTGGATTTTAAAGTCACTAGTTGGTTTTTAACCACTGACAAGTGCTTATTATGATTCCATTTATATCATTGTTTATATTGACCACTGCTGGAATATAACTGATATTAGTCATCAGGGGGGTCTCTGCTGAATAATATTGTATGGCATTAGCCAAATAAAACGTTGAAAGTGACATCCCATGGTGAAGGGGTTAATGACACTGCTGTATGTAAGGATACCAGACAGATTTCATGATACTACCTAATACTGTATTTCACAAATACTCCTAATATACTCAGAGTAACCCCAAATGCACCCTGGGTACTTAATATAGAACCAAGTGTCTCAGTTGCTTTTAATGAAGCTGGATCTCTCTCTCTCTCTCTCTCTCTCTCTCTCTCCTGACCCAAAATTAGATTTTGTTTAAAATCTCATTATAGGCACTCCTGAGCATGCTGATTCCGAATCTATGGTTCATCATAATGATGCTTGGAAATTTTCAATCACATTTTTTCAGTGCAAGTTAATTGGCAACTATGGGTTGCTATTTTGGTGTTTTGCTGTTATCCTGGAAGTACTTAAGTTACACCCTTTATATTTCAATTCCAAGAGAAAAGTATTGTAACAATAATTATATTTTATTTACCTTTTCTTTTTATATTTCTTGATTCTTTACTTTTACTTTTTCTTTCTTTAATTCTCTTTTCTTCTGTTCTTAATCTTTCTCTCTGTTCATTTTTACTCATGAGATGGAGGAGGTTAGAGGTTTGTGGTTAGGCTACAGTAGGCCCTCACACCAGAGGGTAATCTTGTATGAGGGGGGAGATGGAGATAGGATAACTGAGGTATGGGACAAGGTGGTGTTTGTAATGACCTCAGGTGTCCCACAGGTGCTAATAATAATGTCACAAGTGTTCATGATAATGTCTCAAAGGCATTTGTGATTTCATGTTTCATACACACTCAATTGATGCCTGGTGTGATACATTTGCTCAAAATGACAAGTGTTCATAGTGATCCCTGTTATCTTAGAAATATTCATAATGATGCCAAATGTCACACTTGTTCATTTTGGTTCCATGTGTCCTGCAAATATTCTTAAAGAATGCAAGTGTCTCACAAATGTTCAAAGTGTTCATAATGATGCCAGGGAATGCCCACAGGTAATCATAATATCTCAGGTGACTCACAGGTAATCATAATGACACTAAATGGCTCACAGGTACTCATAATGATACTAAGTGACTCGGGTGCTTACAGTGACGTCAGGTGACTATTAGGCATCCATAATCACCCACCATTGTCTGGAATTATTCTCTGAAAATTATTATTGTTACTATTACAGTTCAAGTTGTCTATTTTGTTATTTATCAAGCAATATTCATTGTTTACTATGAAATTTCTTAATACACCTTTCCAGATTTGGAAGGGAGTGATGATGAAGGTGGCGGTGGTTGGTCAGAGCCAGGTGGTGGGAGCAGTGGTGGAAGCTGTGGTGGAGGTGGTAGTGGTGGTAACACAGTCAATACCACTGTAGTCCTCACTAACAGACCCACAATGTCTCTGTTAAGTAGTTTTCGCCAAACTTGGAAGCCCCGACATAACCACTTTATTAGACATACTGATGTTAAACCAAAAGATGAGAAAAGAATGACAGTAAATGAAATCGCAAACCAGAAGATGGCACTTCAGCGAGTTAATGGATGGAAGGTAAGAAATTAAATACATAGTTGCAAATTTATAGCTGTTAATAACTTATTTACATGATTTCTATGGATATTTTATGGAAGACTACTCTTCATTCACATGAGGTTTACACCAGAGCCTAGAGCAAATTTTATCAGTGCTTTTGATTGACTGGCAGAATGAGGTGCATTGAGTTAATATATTGAAACACATTGATACCATAAATATTTTGAAGGGAAAAAGGCAAAATTAAAATAATGGCGGTGTTTGCTGTTTAGTCACTGCGAATTCACCCGGTGTGACTTGACCAATCATGAGCTTCCTTTGATTTGACCCAGTTGCAAGCACGGTGTGAAGAGAGTATAGTTATTACTCTCCTGATCTACTAATTGATTGTGAATCTTACCCTGTTTGTTCATGTAGAGGAACCTTAATACAAAAACTTTGAGGCTGATTGCATTTCCATTTTCATATATTTTGTTTTCATTTTCATAGGCCTACTTCTATTACAATAGCTTAAGCCTAAGCTAGCTTATACAGGTCCAGACCCAGACCTTAAATATGACCTATACAGTTTTTCTACAAATACCATTGCTCCTTGTCTCTTGCATTTAAGATATTTTTACAGTAAACACAATTTGCTTAAGTAGTCTTTAGTACAGGTACTGGACCATTTAACTGCCCAGCTTGTCATATGTAGTTTTAACAATGTGCAAGGGTAATTGCTTCCAAGCCTTTGTTATTCTGTATTTTACATATGCCAAAAATGAACAAAACTGCTGTACTAAACAACAAAAATGATAGAGCACATATTTTATATTAAAAAGGGCTCCTTCTGCCCTTGAACTATCCTATGGGTGACTCTAAGGGTAGACATGTTGAGTCTGGCAGCCAGCCAGCTGACTTGAGTGATGTGTGGCTGCTATGCTGTGACTTCACATTGGAGTTAGCGTGATACATCCATCCATAAGTTCACCTCCCACGAAGAATACTGTTCACACTCATGCTCATCATTTTTCTTTTTTTATAGTTTTATATTATATTTATTTTATTTCTTTCACATTAGAGTACCGAAATGATTTTCTCACAAATTTTACAGTTTCATTTCATGATTCAATGGCAACATGTGTATCCATCTCAAAGCCACAGTCGGGTGTGTTTGGAACCTACTTTCACTTTCAGTAGTGATGAAGTGGATTACACATAGGTTATGCTTTCATTATATATAAGAAGAAATTTTCAGTATAAGTCATTTGTTTCACATAGAGTTATGTTATCTGCATTATACACTGGTTTATATTAAGTCTCTGTGTATCCGAATATGATGCATAAATAGTTTTAAAACATCTAATGTGCTCTTACCATAAACAACACATATGTGCTCTAACCACAAACACCACCTAGGAGCTCTTAACACCAACAACACATAAAAGTTCTTAACACAGACAAATCTCCACATGATTTATGATATTGTGCCAACATTTAACCCTTAAGCCCCGGGTTAGGGTGCTGCTGGCAGTAACCCCCCCTCCCCCCTGCTGGGTTAAATCGAGGAAAAAATCAACTTTTCCAAAAATAGTTAAAAAAAAATGGCAGGACAATAGGCGGACGTTGTGGAACGTCACCCGGGGCACAAGGGTTAATCATTAGGAACTTGTTAAGATGGGCTGGAATTTAATTAAACATTATTTTTAAGTCTGTTTTCATGATTAATTTTGGGTTCAAAGAATACTTTTAAATCACCTTTAAACCTAACTTTTAACAGATTGTTCATTTATCGGGTCAAGTAGACGACTTAGTGGAATTGGAAACCGAAGTGGTTGATCGCCTTCATATGCTCCTCGGGTCACTAGAAAAACGAACTCACCCAAGGAAACCATACAAGGTAACCTATTTCCTCTATAGTCTCTCCAATCTCTATTTCTCTTCTGTGATCTCACATTTTGTTTTTCGTTTTTTCCTTTGCTAGTACATATGTCAGTGCTCTTAGTGGAACCAAAATGCTTTTCCCAAACTGTGATAGATTTGTGGGATGCTTGTGTTAGTATTGTATGATGATTGATGAATATGTCAGTTAATGTATGAATGCATATCAATTTGAAACTATCCTTATTAATGGTTCCATGCTACATATATCATCCTTATATACATTGACATTTACTACTGCTCAGTGGCGTGTATTCCTAAGTAGCAAAAACAGCAGCTAGCGAAGGAACATCCTTCTACAATGTCAGCAGAATATGAACTAAGCGATCCAGCAGCTAAGCCACCTACACATCTGGCACATGAGGATGTGTTGGAGGCTTGGAGCATAATGCAATATCTTGGAACTTAGAAAAAAATTTCCCAGGCTCAGAAGAGAGAGGTTGGGAGAGATTTTCTTGGAATTTTTTGGGGAAGTGCAACTGATTTTCATCTGAGGAAACTTGTTCCCCTACCCATAATTTGGAGAGTTCCTGTGATCTGGTATCCTGGCTAACGGGAAGGTTACTGTACTCCAAGGGTTGAAAATTGACTCAGGAACGTTGCAATCAGTGATAAAGAAAAAAAAAAGATGTCAAACTGGAAGATCATAGGTCCTGGAATGGATGGAGCACAAACTAAAGTGATAAAGGTGGTGGTGAACAGGATTTGCACTGCACTAAGGCAACTACAGTATTCAGAAAATCCCTTGATAAAGGAACTGAAAGTCAGCCAATTTCACTCATGATTCTCAAGATGGGTAGAAAGAATGCAGCATAAAACTATTGGCTAATCACCTGGGCTGAACATCACACTTTTGCAAACTATTTGAGAAAGATTTGAGGGATATCATTATCCAACACCTGACTGAGCAGTCTCATCAACATAACACAGCAAGTTTTTATGTAGAGAAAATCTTGTTTGACAAAATTTGTTCACATACCTTGTAACATTAACATACCACATGGACCAAGGTTTACCATTTGGTGTGTTGTACAGGTCCATGGAATTTTTAAGGCATTCGACAAAAATCCATGTGCTCAATTTTCATCTTGGGTCCAGGCATATAGCATCATGGGCAAACTATTGGGGTGGATTAAACATTAGTTTAAAGACAGGCACCAAAGAATGGTCATAAATGGAGTACATTCAGAGTGGAAAAAGGTTCTTAGTCAAGTACCACAAGGATCTGTCCTCACTCCCATAATTTGTGATTTACGTTAATGATATTTATGAAAATATATCGAACCACATAATCAAGTTTGTAGGCAATTTGAAGATGTATGGGAAGGTGTTAAGTCAGGAGGATATTGCAACCATGTAAATAGATTTGCACTAACTTATCAAATGGCCACAGGACTGGCAAATGCTCTTTAACATAGCATATTGTAAGGCTGCAAGTTGGGTACAATAACCCCAATCACAACTACTCTGTCATTAACAGTCTTGGAATCTGAAGATAGGGGAAAACCTAGGCATCATGATGATCAATCACTGAAGGCAGTGTAGCAAATTGAAGCGGCAGTAAAGAAAACCAATAAAAACTCTTGAAATTATAAATCATACCTTTGAATATGAAATTGTTTTTTCTCTATTATGAACCTCTATGTTCCCATTTGGACTACTGTAAATGAGCATGGAGACCATACTTCTAAAAAGAGCTACTAGGATTATTCCTGAATTAAATCGTCTTGATTACCTCAGTAGACTGAGAGAGTTATGACTGACAACTCTATACCCAAGACACAACAGGGCAGACCTCATAGAGATGGAAGATGTAAACCCAGGAAGTCACAGCTTCAAGCTTGTCATGTTGTCACAACAAATTTAAGAATTTATTTTTTCATGCAGTAGGGTTATGGAACAGTATCAGCACAAGCTGTGGAAGCAAGAAAGGCACTAGACTTCAAAATAGCCCAGGACAAAAACAATGAAGAGATCATACACAAACCATCAACTTCTTTGCCCTGTCATAGCCACCTCTAGGTGTGGTGGCTATTAGGTAAATTATCAACTTAAATACTGTATGATAAGAGTCATCTAGCTTTGAGCTCTGCAAAATAATGGGTGTTTTGGGATCAACCCACCATTTTTTCCAAAAATATAGATGCTTATTAATTGTTATCCTTGTTTGAAAATTTATTTCTCATACAGGGTACTGTATTAGCATTGTGACTTTTGAATCTGAGGTACTTTTGATTTGCAATTTCCTTCTCATTCAGTGTCTTTTTTCGTATTTACAGGACTTTGAAAAAGATGTAAATCGACTGTCTGAGTTAGTGAAAGCCAACATTCAACGATCAAAAATAATTAAAGATCAGATGACAGAAGCAAGATCACAAATGAACAAACTTTTTGACCATAAAGGTAAGATTGTGGACATTATGACCAAATATAGCAGTAAACGGAGTGTTCGGAAGAAAGAAAAAAGTTGAACTTGGATAACCAATTCACAAAAGTAAGATTCTAAATTATTAGTTTTAAGAGTAAAGTATTATCAGAGAGTATTTTTATTATTCTTTGAGCAGTCATGTTCATGAGAGAGACTATCATACCCAGAATGATCCCTACTTATTTATTAGGACATGGTAAAACTTAAGACTATTGGATATTTTTATCGTACATTATGGAGACAGTTCCCACTTGTCTAATCTAATATTGTATCAGTGACATTACTAAACCATTACCTATGAAATAAACTACCAATTTTCTTATCTTGTGACCATTGTCAAGTGTATAATTTTCAAGAAAAGAATGGGACTTTTGGACTAACTATTTACAAGTACGAGTAATTGAGTGGTACTGAAAAAGGCATGAAAATTATAGAAGCATGGAGGCCACCAATGCTGCCGTTAAGCAGTACCGCGGTGAAGTTTTAAATTGTCTATGCCTTCTTGAAGCTCATGGCTTACAGGGTTTTCAAGATTTTATTGGTTGCAATCTTGTTGACATTTTGTGTGTGTTAAAATTTACAATTCAGCATTGACTTCTTAAATACTCATGAAAGTTAACATAAATTTGTTGTCTGTACCTTAAAACTAATTTAGTATGTCTAATTACTTTTAAGTGCTTACTCAGTGATGATGAAGTTGCTAAGTGCAAAGTTGAAGTACATTAAGAAAGGTAACTGAAAACATCCATTAATTTTTAAAGCTGTAGAGTCATCTTCTGGGGAAAAAATCAGTACACCACTTTTGGTTTTGGAATATTGAAAAATCCTTTGTTTCTGGGACCATTTGACCTCATTAATGAATTTGGAATTTATCTTACTGACATGTCATAGCCTGGCTTGTGGCCAAGATAATCCTGTTTTCATTCATCGGGGTCTACAGGTTGCAACCTGGACTAATTCTCATACAGTACTTTGATGGCTGGCTCTGACTTAACCCCTTAATTATGGCTTTTTTTTTTTTACGTGGACTATTTGTTCTGACGGAGAAAGATTAGAGATTTTAAAAATTGGTAAAATTGTAAAAAGGATAAAATTGCCTCTCTGAATACAATGGTGTGATGAGATTTGATGTAGTACACCTAATGAGAGCCCTGTGGGCCAGCTTTGGACATGTTTTTATTATTGAATCATTATTATATTCTCGTATGATCTGGCTCTTATGCTGTACAATTTATCATAAGTAATATGACATCTTCAATACAGGTAATATAAAAAATATAATATATAATTTGTAATCTGACCCGAGAATAAAAGGATAAGTTGTATCGCAAGGTATCACTTCCCTGACCCCTCACCTCCTCTCATGACATTTTAGACAAATGAAAATTTTCAGTAAGACAGAAACCATTTATTAAGATGAGAAATAAAGTACAGTAAAACAAGTTACTGTATCTAAGATAATTTTTTTTACATATTTTCATTTTATAATAATTGAGACTAAGACGTGATAGGGCTGGGCTTATGAGGAATGTGGATTTGAATCATGTTAACACTGTTCGTACAGTCGCAGACAAAGGTTTACTCTCCGTGGTGAAAATGAGTCTCCGAACTGACTTACCCTAACTCTTGTATCTCGTTTGAGGTCAATGTTGCTTCATTTTGGGAGGGAGCGAACTTTTGACCTCGACTGTACCTGTCCCTATACTTCTCAAATACAGGTGTCCTCAGATGGTCATATTTCTTTCAATAATCATACAGAACAGGTTTATGGGCATGGGCAGAAACAAACAGTTTATTTATGGTGGCATTATACCATCGTTTTTTCACAATGATATTGTGGTTCAAATCATCACCACTACTCAAGTCTCCTGCACCACAAGCATCTCATGCACATGTTGGTGATGCACTCCTTCCCGGTATACATGTTATGGTTTTGTTTTTTGTTTTGCGAGATCAGTTATTTTGCAAAATTCCTGGCATGCATACCGGTAATTTGGCAAAATAACTTGCAAACAGACAACCTAAACTAACCTAACCTGGTTAGGTTAAGTGAAAGGTCAGGTTAGGATGGCCTTTTTTTTTTTTCTTTTAAACCTTGCTTAGCCTATTTGTAAGTTATTTTGCAAAATTACCAGCATGCATGCCAGGAATTTTGCAAAATAGCTGATTGTGCAAAAAAAAATGTACCATGCATACAACAGGTAGAGAAGCACTTCTATCTCATTTTCCTCCTGGTCTCTATGCACTTTTACACTGAGGAATAGTTCATTAGTCACCATTGCTGAAGCTCACACAATTGTTATCATTTCCAAATTCACTTGGTGAATCTACTAGTTCTTCAACATTACCCTTACTCTGATTCCCATAACATTCTACTTATTTTTCTGGGTGTCAAGGCAACTCTACTGTTGTGAGGGGTCTTTCTGTGTGATGTGTCTGAAAACTCCACATGTACAGTCCCCTTCACAAGTGCATTGACAGGGCTTGTCAGGTTTTGTGCAGTGTGGTAACACTGTGTTTGTGTACATTTGACAGAAGGACACTAATAATAGTAATCATGCTATGGAATCAAATTAAAAGAATATTTGTGGATTGTTCATCTGAGTGAAGGGGGCTGTACTTATGCCATGATGAAAAAATGCTATTGGTGCAGGGAGGGACCACTGCAGCGAAGGAAAGGTTGTTACGAGTTATTATGTTCACTCGAGCAGAAATCAGACACCAAACTTAAGAATTATGATACAGAAAGATCCTGATTATATGGATGATAACCACTGTTGCGGGACAAAAGGTGCAAATCATCTATTTACGATCGCCATCATTTAAAGTTTAAACTATGAACTCAACTCTCCTGTTGCAACCATAGCCTACTGAAAGAGGTTTGGGAGGCTAAAGTTTACTATATAGAATAGGAGCTAATAAAATCCTGGTGTTACAGCAGCTTGCACAGCAAGATCTTTTCCTGTTCGTTATTAACCTTACTGGATTTTCAGTTCCAGGCTACACCCCAGCTATTTCCTTGCTGAAACTAAGTCATTCGTTGGGTAAATATGCTTCATAACAGCAAAGTTGTACTTACACCTCAAATTTAGTATTGGAGGGTATACCTGGCATGGGCACAGATCAATTTAAAAAAGTGGGGGGGGGGGATGCCTGATATTTAACAAAATTAATAATAAAAAACATATAGTAGAATCTTGATAAATAGGACAAATTGGGGCAGACCCCAGTCTGAAAAAAGTGAATCTAGGGAGAGGGGGTGGAGATAGCATTGCCTATTTGAACTGTTTAAAGAAAATCAGTTGCTGTTATGTTATTACTTCAACAACTAAGGTCTTTAAGTGTATAACAAAGTTATTAAAAGACTATTACATCAATGATAAAAATATGAAATAGAACTCTTCTGGTTGAAACTCAGACATAAATCTAGTTGTCAACAACTGTTTTCACCGAGGTGATTGTTATTTACTGTAAAGTGTTATTTGTAAGTAACCACAGAATTTGTCTTATGAATAAATAGAAAACTATATAATGCACAATACTTTTGAAGATAAAAATAAGAACAAGTAAGTTTACGGGTATATTTTATGTGGAAGACGAATGTATATTTGGGAGCAGCATGCAGGGGATAAAATATTATCTCAAGAGAATCAACTTTCCTGAAAAAAGAATCCCCACACACAACACCATGAAACGTTTTGATTACAAAGGGCAAACAGCTGATAGACTTAGCTCCTTCCTACCACAACATAGTGTAGTTATCATCACTTAAATACTAGTGTAGTGTATTTATCACTTAATTGTAATATACAGTATTATGCATTTGCATATATACCCTGGTTTATTTATTAATCAGTTTTCTAAGTGTATAAGAAGCTTAATTGAACCATCATATATCACTCAAAGGTAGAAGGTATCTTCATTTCAAATACTATACAGTGTGTTATAGTGACTGTTGTAAGCTTATTTGCTGAAAGCTCACACAAACTCATCCTAAGTGAATACCTTCACAACTTATCCTTATAATTTCAAGTCATGTTACATTTTGTATTTTTTCTATTATAATAGAAAAAATAATTATTGAAGATGTTATATTAATCAAGATGAATCATAAACCATAAGAGACCGATCATATAAGAATGTAATACTGAATCAATAAATATATAGACCTGATGAATGTGGCAACATCTAATCTGCCCCCACCCCCTTGCTTATGTATGCAGTGTCTTAGTTCTCGTTAAGCCTATAGCAAATCCGTTTAGACCACCGTACAGTATCCAGTAAGCAAGTGTTGTTCTTTTCATAAATATTTTTTATTTTTGCCCATTTCTTACAAAAAAAAAATTATATATATATATATATATATATATATATATATATATATATATATATATATATATATATATATATATATATATATATATATATATATATATATATATATATATATATATATATATATATATATATATATATATATATATATATATATATATATATATATATATACACAGTGGTCCCTCGGTTAACAAGCACAATTCGTTCTAGAAGGTTGCTCGTTAACCAAAAAATTTGTTAACCGAAACCATTGTTTCAATGGGTTTTTGGGTAATTGGTTCCAGCTCACCGAAAATTGCCTTAAGTCAACAAAAAAGGTAGAAAAGTACACTTACTTTGAGGTGTGTATGTAGAAGGCTCCTGGATGATGATGATGATGATGGGAATTAGAATGGGGGTGGTGAAGGGAGAAGAGAAGGCATTGGGGTGGAAGCCAGTCATCTTCTGAAGCCCAGCAAGTCCCACTCCAGACACTAAACTGAAGTATACCTGCAGAAGGTTCGATTCTGTAAATTTCTGTTGCTGGGAAGTGGTTATGGTGACAGGAGGAGCGTGGCAAAGTTTGGTGTCACAGGCATTACACATGACATTCAAAGTAGTGTCCCATATGTCAGAATTTGGGGTAATACTAACATTACCCCTATAGTTTCGCTTTAGGCATTTCAGCCTTGCCACTATCGCCTGTAACTGTGAGCTCGACACTAGGTATTTATTCTCGTAAGACTTCTCAGGCTGTGAAATCTTCCCCTCGAGTAAATCCCGACGTATCTTGTGGGTTGTTGTTGGTGTTACTGGCAATGCTGTTGATGGTTGTGGTGTTGGTAAGGCAGTGGAGGGTTGTGGTGTTGATAAGGCGGTAAGGCAGTGGAGGGTTGTGGTGTTGATAAGGCGGTAAGGCAGTGGAGGGTTGTGGTGTTGATAAGGCAGTGGACAGAGGTTGAGGGTTGTGGTGTTGGTATAGCAATAACAGACGTGGACATCATGGAGGGTTGTGACGAGACAGGCGGCGGAGGAACTGAGGGTATATCAGCTGGCGGCTGAGTTACCAGACGCTGATCGTTTCTCAATCTTGTTCGCTCCACAGTGGCTCTTGCAACATGCTGAAACATCCTCTTTTTCCTATTGGATGTGTTCACCATGATGCCTGCTATATGGTGAAATAATCACTTGTATAAGTAGAAATAGCGCACACAAAAGTGCTAGGAATGAGAAAGCGAAGCGTACTCCTCACCTCCCCGTCTTATAGTTGACTGATTTGTGTAAGCCTACTCATCTGAGTCCACTTTTCACTGCAATAATCGCACAGACTGAACTTTTATTCAACCGATTTCTGAGCTTTGATTTAACAACATTTAGCTGGCTAAATAGTCTCTCGACTTCAGCATTAGAGTAAGGAAGGGAGAGAACACCGAGAACTAATTCACAGAGGTCACAAAAAGGATATACTCCTGTAGCATCATGGTAATCTTTTACCTCAATCCAAAATTTTACTGTTGACTTGGTCTTGTGCCATTTAACAATTGTTAAGTTGTGTCACCGATTGTCAATTTGGTAAATTTTTTTGGATGGTACCCAAAAAGTTCAGCTATCTCTACTATTGGTTCCTTCACAACTCTGAGACATTCCACAACTGAAAACATAGACATTTTCCTCAAGATTTTGAAGTTATCAAGGAGTCTGTTTTTTAACTCTGCTTATTCTGATAGTTTTGAGTTGGTGCAAGTCTTTTTAAATTTGTATCCTAAATATACCCTGGAGTCAATGTGAGAAGTTGGGTTGCTGATTACTCAGTATTCTATTTACTTTAAATTTCCATCTTTTTTTTCTAATTTCAGAGGGAGGACAGAATAGGTTTTAATTACTAATACTGTCATCATGATGTATATGAAATCCGCTAGAACTTCTGCCAAATCCAGTGAAAATGCACCAGAAAATCCGCTAGCCGCAAAATGTCTAAGCCATCTGCATTTTGAAGGTTCAATCCGCTAGATTTAGCGGATTTTCCGCCAAATTGTCAACACTGCTCCCGTTCCGCCTGCTGGCGGATTCATACACTACTGCCAAACCGGCACATACCCCAACACTCTTAAACTGTTTTTTCCTTCAAAGGTATGCCTTTTTCTTCTAGTATCCTCTGCCATCTACTACATCTGAAGAAATTTATCCAGAATTACTTAGTTACTAAAATTATAATAATGATAATGCCTGCCCCTAGCATCTTCCATGGAAATCTTACTCTTAGTATATTTTTTAAATATATTTACAATACTTACTTTTCTTTACCTTTGGGGAATCGATGAAATACGAAATCGGGATGTGTATCCTTTCTCCGTTTGCACTGGTGTCCTTTACTTGCCATGTTGATAAGACCATTCATTTGTATATTGCGTTCGTGTGCTGATTCCGATTGTCATATTCAATGTGTAAACTAGCAGACGACGCGCTCCACACTATCGACTTCTATCCGCCGCACTACCAAATTTGTGAGTTCGTTCGTTCGTGTGTTAACCATTACCGTACATGTGAATGCCGAGCTTACCCATCTTCTCATAGCCTTTGGTAATATGTTGCTCAAAATTATGGTTTTTCATGGGAAAAGGTCTGTATAACTAACCCCAGTAGTCAGGATAATAATTATACTGTATTTTGTGAGATTTTTATATCTTTATTTATCGTTTTTATACATTCTTTAGGAGGTTTGTCACGTAAAGGAATTTATGAAAACGGTGCTGTTTTAGGGGAGTTGCCATATGTTGGAGCTTCAACCTGTACAGTACAGTAGTAGATTACAAGAGCCTAAGTTAGGGAAAAATTATCAGCAAATAGCCCTTTAGTCAGAACAGTATTTCCTCCTCTCCTGTTGAACTCCTTGACAATATGAATCATTTTAGAAGCACATCCAAGTAAAAATTCATCTAGTAAATTCTGGAATTTATTTTGCCATCTTATGTGACATATTTCCCAATTATGAATTTCAGGTGTAACGACAAATCTCTTAATACTTTGTAGCATATTAGTGTTCATCAGCCAGACCTTTAATAATGTGGAAGCATTTGCTATTGATTTGCCTTGCAGGTATTTAAGAACTTGCCTAGATGTTCCTATTTAAAACTACCCTAAAGTTTATATCATGCCATTTGGTCCTTAGAAACTATACAATTTCCTTGAGTCCATTCATATTGTACAATTTATTGTCTTGTTTACCCTGGTGTCAGTAAGATTGCATTTGGAAGTTCATGCTCAGGTTTTGGTGTCCTTCAGACTTCCTCTTCGTTGGGCAAGCCTAAGGCAGAATATGTAATTCCTATTTGAAATTGAAACTCATTTTAGGCAGTTTAATTAGCTGACACTTGTTAATCATAGGTCTTCCTGAGAGGAATGTTCTAAATGAGAAATCTTCAGAAGGATATCTGGTCTTACTGACCTTTGTCAGGCACTGCCTAGATGAGGAGATAGTAAGACATATTATGTAGCATTGGGAAGTGTGTGAGGTAAGTGCTTTAATTCCTTATTAGTTACAGTAGCTTTTTGTTTCCTCCCGTGTGGTGCAGAGGTTCATTAGCATTAGACCTGTCTTTGCCATGTCATGTCTCCTTGGCATGACAGCAGGCCATAAATCAAGATTGATCCTTGACATTCCATTTTTTAGCAAAGTTGGGACAAGGAGATTGAACTGTCTTAGGTTCTGTTGTAGAGCTCAGCTGGACTGAGGTCTACATGGAACTTCAGCATGACTGAAGATGAATGAGGTCTGTTGATCAAGCTTCTTTTTTTTTTTTTTTTAGCACTAAGACTTACCTTAACTCTTGGCCTTATATAGTAAACCTCCATCCCTAATAACAAAATTAGTACATAATCCTCACTGACATAACTGAGAATGGCAACCTCATATTTTGATAATGACAATTTTCTCGGGAGATGCTTGTAGATACTGCCAGTTTATGGGCAAGGATATGCATGCATTTAAGGGGAATATATTGTTTTACGCAGTAGCTTAAAATGGTTTAGAACTTGGCAGAGCGTAGGTAATACATCCACCTTGTTCAGTCCATTGACACAATACAAGTTAGATAATTGGGAACTACTTTTATTTCTTTTGTTTTATTTTATTTTTAAGTGATTCTAAGATATGATAATGCATTCAAGATATTGATATGTTTGTTAGTACTGTATTGTTAAATATTTTATCATTATATCCATAGTGTATTGTTAAAATAGAATAAGTGGCCAGAGGCTACCTCTTCCAACTCAAGTACAATATTCTTTGTATATGTACATAATGAAATTTATTGTTTGCAGTGCAAACCTATAGCTTGAAGCTTGCGTATCAGTGGGCATAAAGAAGTATTTTATGGTAAAGGAAGGCTGTATGTAAAGGTGATTGTTGGATCTGTTTTCAGCTGTATCACTGTCAGGATAATTATTAAACAAACGAAAGGTAGACTTTTGATAAAAAATATTCATTGTTATTTAAGGTCATGAGAAGTTTCCAAATTTTTGTATATTTGCTTAAATAATGAAGAAATTTATATTAATGAATTGGCAACTCAACTACAACCACAGCTGTTCACAAGATTCTCACATCAAATTTTCTTCATAATTTAAACAAATATACAAACATTTGGAAACTTCTCATGACCTTAAATAACAATGAAGAGTTTATTATTAAAAAAAAATTCTACCTATGGTTTGTTTAATAATTATCCTGACAGTGATACAGCCGAAAACAGATCCACCAATCACCTTTACATGCAGCCTTCCTTTACCAAGTATTGCCAGGTAAAGTTGCAAGCACGAGACCCAGGGTGGGGTCGGTGCATCTTTGGTTGACTGCACATGTACAATGAAAGACAAAAGTCGTGTCTTGAAATTTGGTGAAAACATATGCCAAAGGGCTGAACTTTTAGTGCACTCTGCCTTGTGGTAGGGGGCTCTCATCATGTTTCACGAGTTATATTTAATCTTCAGACAAAATCACTATACAACTTTTGTATTTGATTGTACATGTACAGTCACCCAAAAAAGTCCTGTCGCTAACCATGAACTCCAAGATTCAGACTCTTGACTCCGAAGCATTTATGGACAGAATAATGTATCAGTGTCTACTGCTTCGGGTTCACGAGTCTGAATCGTGGTTCACGACAGGACTTCTTTGGGTGACTGTGTATGTATGCATGTACAAGTATGTACATACATGTGTATGTACTACATACACATGTACATACATGTATGTATGTATGTATATATATATATATATATCACTTTCTTTAAGTTCTTTGATCACCAAACAATTTTTATGACTTTCTCTGGTAAAAATTGAGTTGTAATAGTTGTTTTTATTTCTGGTATACAATATTTGAAATTAGTGACAATTTGCCTTTAGATCTGTATTATGTGTTTCTATTTAACATGCACAGTTAAATTACAACAAACACACCTGCTTTCTTTTATACAGTACTTGTATATATTTCACCTGAATTTATAGAATTTGGAAAACACATTATTATATATCACATAGGACTTGACATAACCTCCTAGGCAAGAGCCTTGCAAAATAGGTATAAATTTGTATATAAAACTGGCTGTAAACCACAAAAATTGTACAAATACAGAATAGCAATATAGAAATAAATTACTACAGTCCTTCAATATACAGTAGTTTTATTTCAATTAACCCTTAGAGGTAACTAACCGTGAAGGAATTGCCTCAGATGAGTATTTTAGTTTTTGCTTCATGAATCTCGAGGTGGTTCAGAGTTGGTTAGGCATGTTCCCTCAATTAGCCGAGACCTGCCTCGCCAGGAGAAACTCTCCTATCCTACTCTTGTTTTGTTTTAATGTAATTATCCCCTTTCCACACTAACCTGGCCCATAAGTCATACCCCTCTAATACAAAAATAGCTTATTGGTTCATAGAAATTTTTCGTGTAGCTGTGCATTTATTCAAACAAAATGTTCACAATTGGTAAGCAGACCTGTTATTCTCTAAAATGATGTTAAATAACTGGACTATCAAAATGCAAATGATTTCAAGGCATTATCACTTCAGAGAGCGACGGTAGAAAATATTAAATGTTTATCAAAAAAGGTCGATGTCAAAGATGAAATTCACTTTCGAATGAAATCTTTTCATATTTCTTTGTTTTACACCAACAATAAGGCAAACAAACAAAATAAACGGTAAAGGTGTAGAAGATGGTGACCACCAGAAGGAATTGTCCTAATTGGTTGAAATTTTTTCTACACACCGATATGATATTAAACACAAAAATGGAAACGACAATGCATAAAACCTGACCTAACATACCCAACCTTTGGGTTTGCTAGGTCAGGTTCTATGCATTATTGTGTTAATTTATGTGTTAAACAACTTACCTTAATATTGAGTTTGATATACATCAGCAATGGCGAGGAGGAATACGTGGAAGCGTTCACCATCATTTAGGAAATGTCTCTTGAACAGGGATTCAGCGAGGTCAACAACAAAAATAGCGCTGGGAGGATAATTGTGAAGCAGGATAGAGTAAATAAAAAGATTGTCAGGTTCTATTAGGTTCAATGCATTGTTGTTTCCATTTTTGTGTTTAATATCATAATATTAGTGTAGAAAAAATTCAACCAATTAGGACAACTCCTTCTGGTGGTCACCCTCTTCTACACCTTTACCAAATAAACAGATGTACCTATAGGGTGCTTCATTGTAGTTCCTTATGCACCAAGATTAACATTGGCATTATTCTGGTGGATGTGTCTCATAAGTAATACAAATGCTGTAACTGTAGGAAAAATCTACGTATTCACAGACTGCTTCACTCATCTTCTGTTAAATGACATGAAACATTAACATTTTACTTTAAAAAATTATTATGATGGATTTGTCTCAAAAATGGGAAAAAGACTCGATTGTAAACTGAAAATATCGTAAAGTGGCCGTGACGATAAACTGTTTCACTGTCCGTGCTAATACAATACAGTATTAACATTACTTTAGAGTTAGGCAAGATATAAATTCTGGTGGTTTGACCCACAGAAAAATACCTAAATGTAATGCGTCCCATGACTGAGGACAGGTTGCCCATGCCTGCTGTAGAGTATAACTAGGTATACACAATATACCTGTATGACTAAACAATAGCAGTGCTGTATAGAAAAATTCTGAGGAGTTATTTGTGCTTAACCCCTTCACTACAGCAATGCCACTTTTAATATTTTATTCGGTTAACCCCAGATAATTTTATTCGGGTTAGAGGGACCCCAAGCAACTGATGGTATGTCTGCTGGAGCTAACACAGACCCTACAAACAAAACTCAGGCCTCCAAAAGATGATTTACACTTGACAGTCTTTATGTCGTCAATGTTATGTTATTACTGTGCTTAAATGGCTTAAGATGTTTTACCGCATAGCAAATGTCAGTAATTACACTACTATATCAACAATTAAAAATTTTGAGATGCTGCATACACCCACTTACGGTACAATCTTTTAAGAATTATTTACAGCTGATCTGCATAAGCTTCCACAATAATTATTCCTTGATTTGGGCTGCTAGGACCTTGGTCTTGCTGATGCTGTGTTATGGTCTGTTGTATTTCATGTTTCGGCTGTTGGTTCTGGTCCTGTTCTAGAAAGTTATTGATCCTACGTAACTCTGATAAAATCTGTGAGAGGACATTATTTGTCTGCTTGTATGCATCACTTTGCCACCGACCTGACTCCACTTTGGATTCCAGGTGTTGTAGACGACGATTTATGGTCAAACTTGTCTCCAGCTGCCGTACACGATCCAGTATACTATTGTCTCCGTTTCCAAGATTTTCACCTCCCTTTGTGGATCTTCTTGTCCCTGTTATTCCTCTATGTCTCCCTTTGGTAGGTCCTAGGGCACCTCCGGGTCCTAACACTGGCTTACGATGTGCTTGAATTGGAAGAGGAAAATATATTTAATTTTTATATACTGTAGTTTAGCTTTGGAGATATCAGTCATACATAAATGGAAGTTTTAGGATATGTCAGACAACAGAAGTTGTTCCCTGTGCTGTTTCACAACTGTAATTAAAAAACCCTAAAACCTGGAAATTTTTCAAATACAGTCAACCCTCACTTTACGCGGTCCCACATTCCGCGTTTCCACGTTTACGCGGTGCCCTGCCGGAACTCAGGATGCTCACATTCCGCGGAGAGTGTCCAGCTCGACGCTATTTTTAGATTCGCCCCACCCGCCTGCTCCCGCCTCCTTCCTCCTCCGCCTGGTCAAGCCGCGCGGTAAGGTTGCGCAGTGCATGTCTCTGTTGCGTTATCAGTGACGTCATATGACGTATCGGACTGTGATTGGCCATGCATCCCTACCTCCCTCCGCTGCTAGCTGTAATTGGTTTTAAGTAATATGACGTGTCCACCCGGGGGAGGGAGGGAGGAAAGACAACGGTTGACCTAGCAGCGGCAGTTTCATCCCTCCAGGCCACACCGTGTAATCGTGCATCCATTGTTCTGTAAAATGGCTTCCGCCGGACCACCGCCCCCAGAGAGAAACCTTTCCTTGCCTGGACCCAGCCGCCCTAAGCCCAAGAAGACACGACATTCCTTAAGCTACGAGGTGAAGTACAAGATCATCCAAGAGTTAGAGAAAGGAACAAGACAGGTTGATTTGGCGCGCCAGCATGGTGTGAACGAATCTACGATCCGGACGATAAAGAAGGATGCAGCCAAGATAAAGGAGCACATGAAGATCACAAAGTCTACAGGTGCTTCTATGATCAAGTATTTCCACAACCAGGTGCTTCTCAAGACGGAAAAATTACTTGTGAGCTACTTGGTGCGTCAGGCGAGACGGAACAAGGCGGTCGTCACGCGGTCTGTTAAGGAGTACGCACGTGAACTGTATGCTGCAGTGTCATGAAAGATGGGAATTACAGAGCCCAAACCCTTTAATGCTTCCTCTGGGTGGTTACAGAGGTTTAAGATGCGGAACAAGATCACCAATATCAACATTGGTGGTGAAGAAGCGAGTGCTGACCGTGCTGCGGCTAGGGAATTTCCTCCGTTCTTACGTGAGATTATGGAGGAAGGACAGTACACCGACGACCAGGTGTTCAACATGGACGAATCCGGTCTGTTTTGGAAAAAGCTACCTTCCAAGACCTTCGTTGTGAAGAATGCCAGCAAGATTCGGGGCCGGAAGTTGCAGAAGGAGCGCATCACCGTCCTGTTTACCACCAATGCCTCTGGTACCTGTAAGCTCAAGTTATCGGTGATCCACACAGCCCGCAAGCCGCACGCCTACAAGAGCATGGACATGACCAAGCTAAATGTCCACTGGCTGACCGCACGTAAGGCGTGGATGTTCTCTACACTGTCCCTCTCCTGGTTTGATGACTGTTTCGTTCCCGATGTAAAGAAATTCTGTGAGCAACAGAATGTGCCATTCAAGATTTTGTTGCTGCTGGACAATGCACCAGGACACTCGCCCCTACTGTTAGATCGTCACCCCAACGTAAAAGTGGTCTTCCTTCCTCCCAACATTACATCTATATTACAGCCCATGGACCAAGAGTTAATCTGTAATGTAAAAGCTGCATTCTCAACAAAAAAATTCCAGCTCCTGAACGACTACACCAACACCAGGGAAGAGTTGCGTAACCTGAGTGACACCACCACCGATAGCAAGAGCGAAGAGGACGAGGATCAACAGTTGGCAGAGCAAAAAATACTTTTCAAACAATTCTGGAGAATATTCAACATCAAGAAAGCTGTGGACTTCTTGGTGGAGGCATGGGATCAGCTGTCTGTAGCAACTGTTCGTCACGCATGGAGACATGTGTTGCAAGGCATTCCGGGCGTAAGGCAGAGTCAATCTGTGACTGGTGAGGTTCAGACTGTTGCAGTAGCAGTGGACCTTGCCAGAGAAGCTGCGCAGAGTGTTACAGCTGCAGGCTTCTCCGAGACCACCAACGACGACATCCTGGAGGTGATAAGGTATCCTGATGTGACTACCGACGAGGCAGGTGGTGCGTCATCCCAAGAAGAACACCGCTTATCCCATAGTAATGTTAGGGGTGCCATCAAGTGTGTTGAGAAAATCAAGCTCCTCCTTTCCGACGACCCTGACGCAAACAGGTATGAAATCGTCACTACCCAGCTGTTGCAGACTATGGAGCCCTACTTCAAGGATTATCACGACAACATAAACACCAGCCGTCAGAAAAGCATAACAGAGTTCTTCGCCCGCAACCCACCACAGCCAGCCCAAGTCAGTGATAGTGACAGAGGTAGAGACAGTGAAGATGACTTTGAGGGATTTGTCAGGGAGGCCCTGACAAGTGTGGATGACAGTGATGGTGACTCACCTGAGGGCCAGTAGCCTGCCCTCTGCCTCGGAACCAGCCTCCATCCCCGTATGCCAACCCATCTCTTCTACTAACGTAAGTGTTCAACCTAACTTTTAGTTTTCCTAACCTTTATTTTTCCGAACTTAACCTTTATTTTTCCTAACCTAACCTCTTCTATATTGTTTGTGCATACCATCATAAAGTTAAGATACAATTTTTACTGCAACATAGTTGTGTGTCGTCAAAAAGTGGAGTTTGGGGGTCGGCCCGGTCTCTATTTCAATTAATCCCATATGTTATGTTGTTCACTTTACGCTTTTCTCACTTTCCGCGGTACCCTGTGGGTTATATTAACCGCGTAAAGTGAGGGTTGACTGTACAGTACTGATAATAAATTTTATGTATTAATGGCAGAAGTAAAATGCATTCATAACATCACCTAATAAATGCAAGACTAAAGTAAGACACCCATTTTTTTCAACCTACAGGTCATTAACAAATATCCTATGAGATTTTGCTGTCTAGATCCAGTGGATCAGACTCTAGTGACAGGTTAAAATGCCCAGGTGGAAAACTCGTATTATTGTAGAGCAGCTTCTAGCCAAATGTACCAGGGTTAAATCATTATTGTGAACTAACCTTGTAGTTGCTTCTGATGTTAACAAGGCTTCAGATTCAATGGAATGAGATCTAATGGAAGGTTCACTTATAAATAGAAACTAGGAACCATGTGTTGGGATTCCTTACTTTGATCCTCACATATCATTCAGACCTCTTGGGCAGCTTTCTGCCACTCTTTGACTTTCACTATAAGACAGTCCAAGCTAAGATGCATGGCATCACTGCACTTAATGCACAAGAATGTCATCCCCACTAACCATATATTCACTTGGGTCATATGCTAAGAAAAACATTAACACTTAGTGAGAGATCAAAGTCATTAGATGGCAATCGTGCAGTGCTACATCACTCGCCTCATCATATACTATATACAGTATATGGTGGAATGACCACTTGGTTAATAGTGTGAAGCATCACTTACCACTGATCAATCCTGTGGTGTAAATTTATGTAAATCTCAGCATAAATGAGGATAGTATGTGAAACATTGCTACCACCACCAACAATCAGAAACATCAAAGAAACACTATCCTCCAATGCTACCTCATAATTCTCTGACGAAAACAACAGCCTGGACCTCAGCTATGGTGAGTAATACATCTGATGCTACCATAGAAAAGACAGCAACCTTAAAAACCATGATTTGGTCATTCAATAAATTTTAAACACTAACAAGCTTATGTAAGAGAAGCAAAAAAGTCTACCAATAACTATGTGGCCCAGATTAGTATAAGAACATAAAAACATATGAATGAAAGAAACTGCAGTGGACCTACTGGCCCATACTAGGCAGCCCCATTAACACCCAAACCCTATCACTCCTATATCTGTCCAACCTATATTTGAAGCTCCCCTACAAGACATTAGGTTATGCAGTTAATGATATCATAGAATCACTTCTTGAACTTACAGTCAGTGACAACATTCAAAGAGTTCACAACATCTCTGACTCGGGTGAAGAAGGTCCAGAGAGAGACGGAGCCAGTGGCCTCAGCCTTAGCCTGGTGGTGCTGGAATCCCTCTTGTAGGTTCAACCACTTGCTCTGACATTGTTCACTTTGTACCTCTTGGCCCTCATATGCCATCTGCTGGGCAATTTCCTTTCCAAAGAAGAATATAAAATCAGTTAATTAAAAAAAAAGTAAACAAAAAGGCAAGTACTATATTCCATGCCACAGTTCTGACTATGTATATCTGGGGGAAAAATTAACACAAAAACCCAAGGATTAATACTTTCCACACTGGACTACAAAACCTTCCATACAAACTGACTGGGTAAGTCGAATATAGAAAAGACAACAAAATACACCAATAGCCAATGAGACAATGTAAGAATAATGTAAAGCAAGAGATTTATTTAGATGGATAAGATAAGAAATATACTGTAGTGAGAAAAACAATGATGCAATTTTGATCAATACAATATTAGACATACAAGCCAGATATGTTACTCAACTCAGAATTGTTTTAATCTACAATTTTTAATGTACAGTAAATGTGTGTATGTGTAAATTGTACCAAGGGAGTTTAACTGCATAATCTAAGAGAGGACCCAGATCATCGGCTTTAAATATATGGTGAAAATTATACTTGAGAAACAAATGAATCTAGTTTTAAGTATTAGAGGAACAATATATTACAGAACAGTAAATTAGAGTTAATAAATTCAAATACAGACAATACAACATTGCTTTTTGGAGAGATGGCCAAACACTGTAACTCATCAACAGGACTTAACCTAACAGTTATTTCAGAAACTTTATAATTTGTTGATATATAAGAAAACATGTATGCTGTACTGTATTCAACCTATCCAACTGATACACAAGATACTGGGTGATCTCTACTATCACTGAACATATACATACAGTCCAGATAAAGAACCTTTATGACATTTTGATTCTGTATCACCAATCATTCTTAGTCATGGTGGATGATACACTTATACTCTATAGGGAAGGAAACTGGTTGGGTTATGATCACACAGCTTGGCAATTTATGACCTGTAGTACTGTATAATCAATTAGCCAGGACATAGCCAAGGCATCCACACTCATTAAATAACTTACTTAAAATTTAAAAGCAACTGAATATTACTTGCCCTCCATATATCTTCAGCTAGTGAGGTGGAAGACAAGAAGTCATCACGATGCTCCAAGATTAAATCCAACAGGAGATGTACAGCTATATCAGTCCAGACAAAGCCACCAGCTGGGAGAGGTACACTTCATATATTATTTCTATATCACATAAATGTTAACAAGCATACACTTACAAATACTGTACATATTAATACTTATTCAAATAAGGCATAATTGCACGCATGCACACACACACACCAACAACAGTGTAAATTACATCTTAGACTTGGCAAAGCAGAACTTAACTGACCACAAGCACCAACATCTCATACTGCCCATTTTAAACTCTACACCCTATTGATCATATCTGAAACACTGAATGAACAAACAATAGCTAATGAGCTTTTATCTCTCTCGGAGTCATGTGACTACCCAATAGACAATGTTGGAGCCCCTACCCCTTAAAGAGTCTTGGCTATAACTATACCTGTCTTTCCCCTTTCCAGAGTCTTGATAATGTCCCTGAAGATAACCCTGATTGGGCCCCAAGTCTTTCTAAAACCCAAATTATGCCCAGTCCCTTTGCCTCACTTGATTGCAAAGTATTACGTATATTATTTATTTGTACTTTAAGGTACATGTGATATATGATGATTCATATTTAATAACCTGGTTAATTTAGGCCCTGATTCAATTTTCATCATTATTTTATTCACATTTATAAAGAAAATAGAATAATAAACACAAAAAAATTACATTTTCACATAAATAATAACTAATACAGACTCTCCTCGACTTACGACAACCTGGACATACGACGGCCATGGTTGTATAAAATATTTTTCACATTACGTATTTTCGAGTCCCGACGTTTGGTCGTAATGTGACGCCGTACGATAGCTATCTGAAGAAAGCGAACTTGATGACTCACCCAGCCCTGTCTCCTCCTCTGCTTCATCCAATTAATGTAGTCTCCGTGCTTAATTAAAAAATTATTGAGGCCCCGTGTGCATTCAGCTGACTACATTAAAGGTAAGTAGTGCACCGTAACACTTTATTAATTTTTCATTATTGATTGCTTTTACTGTACTGTATTTCATTTTAGAATTTCTATGTATTATTTTCACCTTTTCGACTTACAACCTGGTCGTCGTGACGGAGCCCCGTCGTAAGTCGAGGAGAGACTGTACACTGTACAGTATTGCAAAAAAAACAATAACACCATGTGCACAGACATTTCCGGGATGGTGACGTTACTAACGTAAACAGTTGCGCTTGGCAGGCTTTTCGTTTCCACGTATCTGAACGGGATCAGGATTAAAACTTTTTCAGGTATTTTATGGCATTTTTGTGCCCTTACTCAACATGAGCAAGTGATGATAGTGCTGGTTCAAAAGCTAAGAGAGAGAACCTGATGATTTAGGTACTTCGTCGTCATCTGTGTAAAAATTCAGACAACATTGGCTGTGTCCTTATGTTTCTGGCTTTACCACTATTGGCGAGTAGAATTTCCGTTGCATTCATATTCTTATGCTGAGAAATGACGCTATACAAGGCTGTATTTGCATGTGTGTGTACATACATATGTTGGCCTTCTGCTGTCAATCTCACACCTTTTCTTTACCATTATTAGTTACTTCTACGGTTTAGTTTACATTAAATAACATTTAATATTTTTTTTTTTTTACATTAAATTTACTACAGCTACAGCCAGGGTCTTAATCTTCTTCAGTTTCAGATGGAGGACCATCGTCCTGCGTATAAACACTGACAACAACAATAGCATCCTGTCTCGTCTCGTGTCAGTTCCTTATCACTAATATGTAGTGATTTATGTTGTATAAGTTGCATTAGTAAACATTAATTAAAGTACAGTACCTGTATAAATGTTTTTTTTCTATTAATTTTACTGTTTTGTGGGAAAAAATGGTAAAAAGCCACACAGAAGATGTAAAATGGACACACTAGAGAATGCATCTCACTATTATTCCTTTAATTTAATGGTAGTAATGATTCACGATATGATGATTCACCTTACACCGCAATGTTGGAGGTCACATTATTGTACTGTACACTGATCTTAAGTCCATTGGTACATGTAGGAATTTTTTTAAATAAATACTGTAATGATTACTGTATTTTTATCATTATTATTACTACAGTACTACCAAAAATACACACACATTCACTCTCACTCACTCGAAGACACACACACACACAGACACTCACTGTCAAATGTCAGATCCTGGTATTCTGTAGAAGACATCTTATCAGATGGAGAAGGTGCAACACGAGTCATCCTGAGAAGTAAACAAACATGACCATCAAGGATAATTTATGAGTACTGTACTATTCTTTTTCAATAACATACTAAGGAATCTTTTTAATGTATGTGTGTATGTGTAGACTTAAGGAAAAGGCTTAGACACAAATTAACAGTTGTTTAACATATGGGGGAATTACATTGAGTATTTGTAAAACATCATTTGGGAAAATTCATGAAAAGTTTATGAATTCTTTATAGAATGGGGATCTCGATATGCAGTATACATGTACTGTACTGTACCACAGGAGGATATATTATACAGTATATCCATCACTCAACATTAACACTTTATAAAGATTACTTTATATAGTCTACTGCTCAGATAAACTAAAAATATAACTCCTCACTCTGTACTTAGATGCTCTATAGCAGTGAGGGGCTGCATGCAACCCATCAGGCTTCTCAGTGCAGCTCATGAGACAATATTTGACCACTGTCAACACACATAGAAGAATCATAAACAAAATGGCACTAATTTGACCATTTGTCAAATTCTTAGTAATTATTAAATATTTTTTTTGTAATTTAAGGGGATTTATAATACAGTAATATTATTCTACATTAATATTTTTATAATGGACTGATAATTTTTATTAATTTAGCTTAATTCCTTCATAGACTGTAATTAGATTACAAATACAGTTAGCCTATTCATTTTTTAATATGGGAACACTGCACGATCCACACTTCCAACTTATCAGTACAGTACAGTATGTCTCAAAATGCATAGCAGTGCAAACAGCATATTACCAGTGGTGGTGGAAGGTTGTGCTTACCTATTATGTATTATAAGGTGGATGGTAACAAAGTAACATACAGTACTTATATACTGCCACTTAACAATGATAAAAAACCTAGTTAAAAACAAAGGACTGAAATATACAGTACAGTGTAATGTACTGCATATCTCATTTTTTGGTAAAGGGAATGAGAAGTAAACTGAGAGAACACCTGCCAGAACTCTCTCTAGCAGTGACTGTCTTTGCCTAGGTTATATGTCTTCTTGGAGCAAGGACATTGTCCATTCAGATCAATGCTAAAATTGCACAAACAACCATACACATGGACAAAACAGAAATTCAAAGCAAGTTCCAACCCTGACCCAGTACAGTGCAGTATTTACTTCAAAAGCCATCATATCAGCAGGTACTCTGGGATGAATCCTGAATTGGCTCACTTTCTCAAACCTCTCGGTCATAAACTTTTGGCTTAGACAACAGACCTCCCATTTTCCTGTCAATAATGGAACCTATCAAGGAAGAATGTTTCACTGCAGCCATAAATGGAGGAGTGACCTGAAATCCCACTTTATGGCCAAGATTGAAGAAAAGAAGGCTCACTACATTATTTCCAGTGACTACAGAATGCAGATAACCCTCACACATGGTAGGCTCTGCTGAAGAGTGTTTTTGGAGATAATCTTGCAGGTCAATTGTCAAATGACCCATAAGTCATGAAACTATTTAATCAAAAGAAATAGACTTACGCTTGCTCTCTCATCCCCAGGGGGTCAATCTCCTTCCCGAGGATGTGGTGCAATGCATCAAAGTACTCAAATCTGTAGCTGCTGTCTCCATGAATCTGCTTCTGTAGGACTTTCACATAAGTGCCCTGCAAACCAGGCAGAATTTAGTACTGTACACTTGCAGATTAGGTGGATGCTTTATATTCACAGAATAAATGCAGGACTTTAGTGAAGATGAAAAATACGAACATTTGGTATCTGATTACTCAAATAAATTACAATCACAATGTCTACTCTAACTTTGACCAAATTTTGTTTACCAATGGCTGAATTAGTATGCAAATATCTACCAATATCATTAAAATCCACAGACAGACATGCATCTTCTACTGTATAAGTATCAAATTATCATAGAGTTTTCACTCTAAAAACCTTGGTATACATTGGTGAGAAAAGTTGTCCAGTACGTTCAAGTACGTATATATAAATAAACTTAAGAATATCTGAATATCTAGAATCAGCACAGTATGCAATTGAATCTGTGGGTGTTAAATTGAACACAACATGAATCAGACCACGATATGAACACAACATGAATCAGACCACGATATGAACACAACATGAATCAGACCACGATATGAACACAACATGAATCAGACCACGATATGAACACAACATGAATCAGACCACTATATAAACACAACATGAATCAGACCACGATATGAACACAACATGAATCAGACCATTATATAAACACAATGTGAATCAGACCACTATGTGAACAAAACATGAATCAGACCATTATATGAACACAACATGATTCAGACCACTTTATGAACACAACATGATTCAGACCACTATATGAACACAACATGATTCAGGTCACAATATGAAAACAACATGAATAAGACCACTATATGAACACAACATGAATCAGACCATTACAGGTGCTCCTCTACTTATGAGCAAGTTACGTTCCTGAGGCTTGTTTGTAAGTCCAACTTTACTCTTGTAGATACCAAACATCTTGCAAAAATGAAAAGATTATGGATATTTAGTCCAGCTATATCCTTTAATACAGCCTTAAAACCTGGCTCACTCTTCTCTTCTTAGGTCATGTTTGTTCTATCTGGAATTTTCTTCAAAATAATCCAGTCTCATCCACATTAAACACCTGTTCTGGCAGGTAACCCCCCTCAGCGATGATGTTTGTATCTCTGAAAGTTTGTAAGTTGAACATTCTTAAGTAGAGGAGCACTTGTATATGAACACAACATGATTCAGACCACAATATGAACACAACATGAATCAGACCACTATATGAACATGAAAAGAAGTTAATGTACCTTAAGGTTCCTCCACTTCTTGTCACACTCACTACCAGTACAATTATGTCCTTCCTCCTGCATCCGTTCCGCCACAGCATTCCAAATAAACTTTTTCTTCTTGGTGCCATCATAGAAATCTTCAAAGAACTCCTCCACCTTACCGATCAAGGCGTGTACTTGACGGCGACCCCAGTGGAACTCTGTCTCAGGTGCTGGTGGAACAGGTGAGTCGCTTGTGAGTGTTACCACTAGGGAGAGTCCAGGAAAAGGTCTTCAGATGAGGAGAGTGCAAGAGCAGAGATAGACAAGAGGGAATATGCCAACTGTGTCTGTCATATTAAACAGTGACAAAGTAAGTGTTAATAATGGGGAACAGTGATGAATTATCCAAGATAGATGTAAAAAAAATATATATATATAAATATAAAATTTGGTAATTATTGATGACTTATCTGTTGCCGATTTTTCTTACTTAAAAAACACACCGCATTCTCACTGTTTTGCAGTGAACACTGTCTTAGTTTGGGTAAATGTGTTAAAATGGGGTTACATCTAAATTAAACCTAACCTAACCATAGTTGATAAGAAACACAAGCTGCTGAAGCATTGTTAGAAGACTGCACCAACCTAACCAAAGAAACCTACTTAACCTTAACTAACTTCCTAGCTGGGAGGCAGAGGCCCCCGGCATATTAAACAGAAATAACTTATTATGATATGGTGAAATTTAAATTTTTTTTTGTGGAAGTGAAAGAAGCCGCTTGGACAAGGAGGCTCGTGAATAAACAAGGAGCAGAAGACAAAATCGAGTGGATCGGACCACCAAACCATTTTATTGCTGTGACAGACAAAGTATTGGCATGCTAGTGCAAGCTTAGGGGCCTAATTGTCTACCAACCATATTGACAAATTTCAAAACACTCCACCTTGCTCTTTGCCGACGCCTATACTCCGTGTACGTTTATGGGCTGCTTGGTACGGGCGGCTGCTCTCCTGTCCACAAATAGTATAAAATTAAACCATATCACAGTAAGTTCTTTGTGTATAATATACCGGGAGTCCCAGGGGGTGAGACCCCATGACTAGGAAGTTAGGTTAGGTAGGTTTCTTTGGTTAGGTTGGTGCAGTCTTCTAACAGCGCTTCTGCCGCTTCTTTTTCTTATCAACTAAGGTTAGGTTAGGTTAATTTAGAAATAACCACTTTTCAACATATTTGCTTGAACTATGATAGTGTTCACTGCAAAGCAGTGAAATTATGATATTTTTAAATTCATTTTCTATGAAAAATCGGCGACAGTATGCCATCAATAATTAGCAGTGGGTTAGTTTGGTTACTTTTATATATAATTTTGTTTTTTTATAATGTAGCAGTATCTGGTTCTTGATTATCTATTCTTAAATATAGTGTCACTCAGGTGAAGCTTTAAATTGTATCTGAGAATATATGCCTTTCACTTTAAAAAGATGTGACATGGGAATTCTACTTTAATTCATTTCCTATAAGGGAATAGTAATGACTGTCGTTAGCATAAAATGTTAGGCAATTTTTGTTGATATCGTGTCATTTAAAACTTCCGCCAGCCATCAGCAGCAAAGAACAAATAAAAAAAAATGGAGTTACTTGTACAGTACACCAACTTGAGCAGTTATCTGCTCTTTTGTCACTATCATATAAATAAAGCATCGAATGAGCACCAAAAGCCCATTACTTCATTCTTTATATTCACATTAATTGAAATATTTAGTTTCACGGATAAATAAGACGAGACAAAACAATAATGTATATATACTCAGCACCATTTGTCTTAGCGCTTGAACAGCAATTAAAGCCAAAATCCTCATATATATATACCTTTCGTTTCCTCCTGGGGCTTCATTCTGCTAGTTTATTAGAAAAGAACAACACAATAAATATAAAATAATTGTTGAATACGACGATGGAACTTAGAATTGCTGCTAAGTTCCTCGACAATGTTCATCAAAGTTTCATTTGTTTCCTCCTGTAAACAAACCAACGAAATTATTAAAAGGAACTGTATCTCCCTCAGACCTCTGCATAACCCACCATCTAGTGGCTGAGGCCGTGACTGTGGGTATTCGTCCTAAACAAAGAAAACGACATTTTCTATTTTGAGGGCTAACTATGATTTAGCGCATACAATGGACTATACAGTACAAGTCCACACAGTACTTGTTCATATTCTCAGTTTACACGCACAGTATACCATGTGAATCTTTAATCTCCACATACAATACACTCATAGTGCTTCATATTTGTTTGTTTTTTATCAAACTCTTAAGTGGGGCACATTTATATCGCCCCCGACAGGAATTGCCTAGCTTATGCTACAGGTAGTCAAGGGGCGACTTAATTGAAGTTTATAAACAACCCAGAGGGCATTACTCAGTCGAGGGTTCATACTTG